AATCCATGTTTTTTTTTTTTTTTCGGTCCGCTGATTTTCATCGGTTCTTCTCATTTCCACGCAGCTCTCTCATCGTGCTCTCTGCTCTGCCACAGCCAGCCAGTGCCTGTCCTGTCCTGCCCTGCCCAGCCCAGCCCTGGCAGCTCTCTCCACCGCTCCCCTCTTCCCCCATCCCCAAGCAAACCCACCCACACCCACAACCCCCAAAGTGCCGAACGCTCTACCCGTGCAAGACCTGCTGTAAAACTGCGACGAGGTAAGGGCCATCCGGCATCCAAAACGCAGCCAGAAAACCAAAAGCCAACTCGCTCCGCTCCGTGCATCTCAGGTGTCCGGATAAGGGAAGCCGCTGTAGATGGGAGAAATGCGACAATAAAACAGACTCCGACGCGCTGCTAGGACCACACATGCCGTCGTTCCCCGTGTTCCGCCCGTTTGAAACCCAACGTATAAAAAAAAGAAAAAGAAAAAGAAGATAGAAGTGAAGAGAGCAGCAAGTAAATAAGATCCAAAAAACGATCAAGGGTAGTTTAGCAAGCAAATCCCATTGGGAAACCGGACCCAAGCGCTGAAAATGTTTGAAAGCCCCTGCAAAAAATGCGTGCAAACCCATCTGGTGCGCCCAAAACGCCCGAAGCCGATAAGTTATTTGTTGTGCGCCAATGAAAAAAAAGAAAAGATAAAAAAAAAAGGACAAATGAGAAATCCTAAGACGAGTTTGCATCGTCTGGCTCGGGGAAGATCCCCTAAACGATAGAACAATGAGACTTTGATAGCGAAAGCTTCCAGTCGAGGTGACCAGAAGAGTAAAGATGTGGATATCACTGAGTTGCGATTAAGGCCGTGCTTTGAGACTGCATGGCAAGGATACCAGGACGAGATGAGATCGCAAGTGATTAAGTTTGGCTTGGTTTGACCCGGAACAATAACTCCATTGCGCCGGCTGATCTGGTGCGGGATCATACATGTTCAGGTGGGTGACCAATGAATTGCAAGATTGGGCCCAAGCCTTGGTCGAAAGAGGTAGTAGACAAGGCAGTCGGGAACCGCGAGGTGACGGGTGGAGAGGCACCCAGCCCCGACGGACGTTCAGCGGAAGCGACCAGTAACGACCTGGCCATGCAGACGACAAGCGTTCAATGGTAGGCGGGAGGGAAGCGGAGGCTCTAGGTGGCCATTCACCTAGGAGGCTGCTGGTGGTTCTGCTGGTTGGGAGTGCTCCTCCCACCTTCTCCCCTTGCACGGACCCAATCGGCGGAGCCAGACTGCCTGCCTTCGGCCGCCTTCTGCGTATCGGGGTCCGGGCGGCGTGCGGGAGACGGGCCTCCACGGATGATGTCCTCCGGGTTGATCTTGCAGATTTCGTGTGCGATGGACGCGATCATGTACCTCCTCAGCTCCCGGTCCTCGGACATATCCTCGCCCTCTAACCGGAACTTGTCCTGCTTGGACAGGTTGGACCGCCTCAATGCGCGGATTTCGTTCATGATGTAGAGGAGCACTGCCTCCGGGGCCCGTTGCCTCTCAAGAGCGAAAGCCCTGTTTCGCACATATCGCCTGGTGACGTCCATAGCGCCATCGGCGGAGAAAGCAATGCAGTATGCGAGCTTCTTGCCCCAGCCTGTGATTCATGGTCAACGATAGCCCAATGCGACCCGGCAAACACGATGCACGTACCTTCCGTGTAAAGCCGGGGCTTGTCCCATGCCTCTTCGCAGGCATCGACGTGAATCCACCTCTTCCTGTGCACAGAGTACACCTCAGTCCAGACGTGGTCCTCCGAGTTCCATACCCAACGGACGCGAGAGCCCACAGCACGGCACAGCATGCTGAAGCAATTGGCCCACTCGCCACATCTTCCTCTCCGGGTCTGAAGAAGCACAAAGGCGTCGTTGTATCGAGGGAAGCGCTCGTAGCATCCGCATTGGTCGAGGGAGCAGCGGTAGAGTTCGACTTGGGTGGCGCCACGGGCCTGCTCATCCTGGAGGGGCGCCGCCATGCCGATGGCTATCGTGGGAGAGCCGCAAGAGGTGCAGATGGGGTTGTTGACCCAGCTGAAGAAGGAACGCTTGAACCAACGGAGAAGTGCACGGATGACGCAGTCCTGGTAGCCCCATGCGGGCTTCTTGTTGGAGCCGAGACTCTCGGCCTCGGCCTTGAAGATCTGGCTTTCCTCCTCAGCCTCGCCGTAGACCTGTTCCAAGGGGATGACGCGCAGGGCGTCGTCGAGAAGGCCGGGGTTCTCCCACTTGACGGGCATGTTGGAGAGCGAGTGGAGCATGTTCTTGAAGCGCAGGGACCGGGGGTCACGGGGAGCCGAGGGAACCAACGGGATGTTGCGGACGGCGGTCGTGTAGGATGGCGGGGGAGCATTGGTGGCCGGCAAGGGAGCGGCGGGCGACTGCGAGCGGGAACGGCTGCTCAGGTCGTTCATCCGCTTGGTGCTAAGGACGCGGCGAAACTTGTCGGTCAACTCCTTGGCCTTGGACTCATCAAAGGGAGAGGCATGGCCTCGACGCGGGGCCATCGAGGCATCCATGGCGATGAGACGGGACGGCAGGTGGTGGTGGTCGTGGTGGTGGTGATGCGGGAAGGGAAGAGGAGACAAAGGGTTTGAACGGGTTGCGACCGCACAGCTTGCACAGCCCAGATGGACGGAGCCGCCACAGGCCGGTCAGTGCACGGGGGTGGATGGAGGTTGGGGGTGCGGCGTTTCAAGCGGGCCTTCGCATGCAAGTCGTGTGGTCGGGGTGGGAGGGCAGGTGTAGAGGCTTTGAGGAAGAGACGGCGGCGATGAGGTGTCAAGGGAGCTGGTGGGCTGCGCAAGCACGCCGTAGGGCAGAGGGCGAGCGTCGTCAGCTTGCGCGGCACGGCCAATCACGTCCGGGCGACCCGCGTGCTAGTGCGCAACGGAACCAGACGATGAGGATTGTCTGCTGCTGTCGTCTGGCTGCGCGCGGCGAGGCTGCGTTTCTTGGCCGCCGCTCCTTAATTTCGAGAGAGGCACTGAGGTACTCGTATCTCCTTCGCCCGCACATACACATGGATTTCTCTCTATTCTCCATTCTACTCTCTCGCTTTCGCTTCCCAAATCCGCTTCCGCCACACTAGAGACAAACGACGCGTGTCGCAGAGGGCCCGAGTCAGCCGCAGCTATAACTATTTCTCCCGCGACTCGCCCGCCCACACTTACGCATCCTTTGTCGTCGTCGTCGCACACCCGAGCACGTAAGCCACACACCGGACTGATCTGTACGGACGTACCCTCAACTGCCCTCTTCCCCCCGAAGACGACGACAACAATTGCCCACCACCACCCACCAAAGCACACCACAGCAATCCCAATTTCCCCTGCTTCTTGGCTGCGCGCCGCGCCATCCCGGCTTCACATCTGCCCACGCAGGGGCGCCCATGAGCAGAGCCTAAAACTCTTTGCCCCAGCCAACGCTGACGCGGCCAGCGTCCGCTCTCCGCAACGTGACCCCCGTCTGGCCTGATGCTACTCCACCAAAAGCCCACGCCTATCCCCAACAAGGGCCACGACTTCGTGTTATAAATTGCGGTCGCCGGCCACGCAGCGCCGGTTTTGACAGCGCAGCCGCTGATGATCTGGCCGCTCACAGCCTGGTGATCGGCGTCGTCATCCATGTCCATATTGCCTTCGGATCTACCCAAGCACTGCTTTTGGACCACTTGAGCCTCCCGCGTGATGCTGTGCAATTACCTACGCCTATTGCGCCTATGTATGTGAATGCTTATCTTATCCAACACTTTCTTTCGACTCTTTACGAAGCAACCATCACCGCCCGTGATCTGCACTGCCCGCATCCTAAAACAACAGACGCCACAGCCCGCTACCTTCCGTGAAGTCATCATCCCCAGACGCGCCCGATCGCGGCTCGACTCGAAAACCTTCTGCCCCTGTTGCCTGCCGCCTGTGCCTGTGCCGCCGGCCCGGCTATCTTTCGTGGTTGCCGACAAATCTTGGCGGCAAATCGAGATCCCATGCCGGCCGTTCGACGATGACGACTTCCAGCGGAGTCTGTCCTTGCGCCCCAGATTTTTCCTTGCTGCTGCCGCTTTCCTCGCCGTTCGCATGACTGATCGGCACCATGCCCAGTATGGGCCTGTACTTGTACGTGTGCCAGTGAGACTTGCGTTGCGCAGCGTTCTGTCCCTCGTCCGCGTCGTCAGCCGCAAGGTCCGCGCCTTCGGATGCGGACCGACGCAGCAGTGCCAGGGCGTTGGATTTTTCATCAGCTTCGCCGTCATCATCGTCGTCGTCCTGACCGGCGGGCGCATGGTCCAGATCGACCCAGGTAGACGCGTCGATGCCGGTGATCTTGCGATACTTCCTTCCCACTCCTTGGACTTCCCTGGCGGGCACCTTGCTACCCGCGCCACTAGTGTGCTTCCTCAGCGGGTCTTCCTCCGCACCCCGCTTGCGCTTCTTTGCCGCGTCGGGGCTGTCTGCGGCACCCTCGCCCAATGCCTGTCCGCTCGAAAAGTCGCTCGCCAAGTCAAACATGAACACCCAGTTGCTGCCGTACAACCAGAGCCGCTGTCTCGTTTCATTGACGTCCCACAAACATCCCATGGCGCGGTCCCGCACCCCCCTGAATTCCGCCGGAAAGTCGGATGTCGGGTTTCGTCTCGACCACTCTGTCAGTTTGCTCTCGAGAATGTCAAACTCGTAAACTTGATGTTGCGCAGTGACAACTAGCAAACGATGTTCGCCACTCGGGAGCTCGTGCGAGTGCGGATGAGGGTTATTCCGGGTGGGACGCACAGCAGGGTTCCCATTGGGCTGCGGCGCAGAGTTGCCTGATGGCCTGAATGACAGTACCAATGCGGAAGAGTCGAGCTTGGGGAGAAGATGACCGGCGGGGTTGCGGATCCAGTGCTGACCGAAGAAGATCACGGGTCCGTTCTCATCCTCATCCTCGTCGTCCGACGAGGCATCTTCTGCTTTTGCGGGCTCTGCGACGGCATATTCGGGCGACATGGAATCTTCATTCCCTTCAACCACCCAGCTGTCCAGGTAACCAGCGATATCACTTACCACGAGAACGCCCTCAGAAAAGGCTACACGCGTAATTGTACGGTCGTAGCTGCCCCAACTGCCGTTCAGTGAATTTTGGTATTCGAGTTTCCTGTGCAACCGGGGGAGCTCGACGACGCGAGGCACAATCCTCAATTTATCCGTGTCCTGCTTGTCGTTCATAAGCCGAGCGAGGAAAACCTCGTTCCCGTGAGTGATCACGGCCAGCCATTTGCCATCCTTTGAGACTTGCACAAGCCGGGCACCATTAGACTGAATCTCTGACGGGCCATCAAGCTTGCGCACGCGCAAACCCCTTTCATTCTCGCTCTTGCGTGCAGACAATTGGAAGACCTTCACCTCTGCCGCAGTGGAAACGGCAAGAACGGCCCCGTCTTCAGACACCGACACGGATTGGATGTTCTCTTCGCCCTTCAAGGCCAGACGGGCGACCAGTTTGGGAAGCTCGCCGCTCGAGTCGCGCTTCTTGACACGCCAGACACGAACCTCGCGATCCCACCAGCTGACAAGGAGACGTGCGCGGGGAGCGCTGACGACAGGCGGGTTCTGAGGGAGAGCGGGGAGAGTGCGGCTGTGTTCCTTGCCAAACTCGCGAATGGGAAGGACGATGGGATGAGTGTCGAGACCTGTGATACAAAGTCAGAATTGCCAGAAAATCGATCTTGTCCTGCCTGCATACCTCCAGAAACCATGATGCTCATTTGCTTGCTCTCGTACGTCGCCATTGTCTTGACATCGTGATCATGGTACCTCCTGTGAGCGACCTTTGCCCATCTCCGGTTTCCGTAGTTATCATTTCCCAGCGTGTATACTGCAGTCCGGCGATCCATACCACCACTGTATATGACCTGGCCCGTGGCACTGACCGCGATATCGAGGACGTCGGCTTCGTGTCCAGAGATGCGTTGCGTCTGGGAGTAGTTTTGTCCATCGTAGAATCGTATCTCGCCGGTTGAGTCGCCAGACACGATGTCGCCGTTGGGAAGGCACTTGACCGTCCAGACAAGGATTTCTCTAGGTCCTCCCACTGCTGCGGCGCCCAGCGTGATGTTGCGCAGAAGCGCTCCGTTCCTGGTGTCGAAAACTCTGATCGCGCTGTCTGCAAACCCGGCCACTACCACATCTCTGTTCTGCCATGCGACACTGAGAACTCTGGCCTTTTTTGCACTTGCGCGAGACAGGAACTTTTGAAAACGCAGGTCGTTGTCTGCAGTGGACAACAAAGCAAGCGTACCGTCGGCACAGCCCGCCACGAGGTTCTGGCCATGGAATTCTCCCTCCCTCTCCACCGACTTTGTACCGAGCTTCATAGGCCTCCATCGGGGCTGCGCGGCGAGACACCAGACTTCGCTGTGGTTTCCGCTGGAGTGGCGCAGAGGCAGACCGGTGACCAAATCCCACTCCGTCACCGCGCTCGAGTACCCAATGCTGAACAGGCGCAATTTTCCGTCAGTGGTATAGCCATTCGCATCCTCCTCATCCGGCTCTTGCACCCATGCCAGGCCTTCCACGCTTCTGTCCTGGCCGCCAGATAATGTGATCTCATGTACCCATTCACCTTTCCCGGGATTCCAGATCTCGATGTTGCCGTTTGCGCGGCCGATCGCCAGCCTGATGTTCCTTATTCCTTTGCCAGTGAAGTCCCTGCTCTCGGAGTACGTGAAGGCCAGGGCGTTGATCGCGGAAGGCGGGTACGGTACGAAACGCGAACGGTGGATATCCATCTTTTAAGGTGCGCCGAGGGCGAAAGGAAGGTATGGATAGTTCCGAAGTATGAGAAACAATATGCTGTGTCCTAAGTACAGGAGAAGGCGATCATGCTCGCCCTACGACACGGTGTTTTCGAGCAACACGCAACTGAGCCTTCACAACTCTAAACGCGCAACGGGCGTTCCAAAAATTTTGGGAACGTCCGCTCGGCGTTAATTGATCCGATGACGCGCGCTAGGCTCTCGCTTAGCGGAACCTCAGCCGCGCTTATTTGAACTTCAATCAACGTCCTTCTATCCTCCTTTCTCATTCTCCGCATCCTCACGACGCTCAAACAACGCAAAATCGTTATCATATCCCAGCTGGGTCATCTGGAGGCTATCTCCTGGTGACCACGCTTGGTGGTTTTGTGCATCCAGGATTACGATCATCAGCCGCTCGTTATGTCGTCTCCGAAAGCGTTTCAAAGCCGTCGCTCCATCCGTAAACCATCGCGCTTCAGTCCTGGGCTAGCTCGTACCCGATCCCAAAGCGAGAGATACCGAAGCGTTCGCTCGAAAATGATGAGATAACAGGACAAGGCTGTTGGTGTCTTGTGGTTCCTTGAGTAAGGAAAAGTCCAAGCGCGGGCTGCTGGTCGAACTTTTCTTGGCGCCACACATCCATGCCCAATGGAAGCACTGTTGCTGTCATCGACAATAAGGTTCCCAGTCCCACAGCTAACTTGAAGGTTTCCCGCCGATCGCACCACCTATCGCGATCCTTCTCTGCGCTTTTTTTTTTAGAGTCTAGAGCCGTACGATTAGGTAGTGAGACATAGAGGCGTGCAAGTTTGGAAGAAGGCGTGTCGTGATGTGGCCCGTGTTGGGCGTACCAAGCATCTTTGGGATAGAAGTTGCGAAAGCCGCCATATCAAAGTGCTAGAACGAGGCGGTGTGCGTTGTCAAATAGGCTGAACTGATCACGATAACCGCTCTCTGCGCTCGATTTGGAGGAATTAGCGAGGCGGATGCATCACGAGAAGTATCAGGCCGTTATTCACGAAGCCGGCCCTATCACCGAAACCAGGCCAAGTGCGTACATAGTTTATGCAAAGAGGTACGAGGCAGCGATGATGCGGGATGATGCGGCAAACGCGGTGAATTGTGAGCTCATGAATGTCTTAACAATGTCGCGGGATCACGATAGGCGGGGAAGAGATTTCTCTTCTTGGTTCGCTGCGTTGCGCGAGGCAACGTACCGCAATTCCGGCTGCAGTCCAAGGTCAGAGTGACGCTGTGGACGTGTTGGCGTGCCTCCGTCTATCCGAGACTTTGGACACCGTGGCGCTCGGCGATTCCAGTTTGGACGAAAGCCGCGAGATGTGCAGTGCATGGCGGGCTTTAGGATGATCGCGCTATGGGTGGGCGGAAAGCGCTCGCGCGATGGTCGCGTTCAGGCGCCCGCCAACCCACCGCCTGGAGCTGGACCACCTTCCGTCCTGAGCGAAACCGGCTAGAACAAATGGAAGAACGATCCCGTATTCCAATATGTGGGAGACGGGCTCCTCACTATGACTCCGACAATGATCACCATGCCGCAGCTTCATGCGGAGGATCGAGGGCGGGCGGGAGATATGCTAAGTTTAACGGTGCTGGCCGAGCGAGGCGTTTCATCATCGTTTGGCTCACGGAAATGATGCTCGAGAAGGGCGCTTGGCACGAGCCTGGGAACTGCATGCTTCCGCCGTAAGAATTACGCGACATTTTATTGCGCGAGAGACAGTGACCCCGCCTTTAAGCCCGCCGCTTGCAAAAAATCTGGCTGCAGGAGTGGGGCGTCCAGCTGGCAGCGAAGGCCAGAGAAGGTCGACGGCTGAGGCGGTATGTAACAGGAAAAAAAAAAAGGTGAAGAAAATCTCTGCGTGCAGAACGGCCACGACAACGGCGGGCGGAGCGGAGTCGTTGGATTTTTATCCACCGTGCGGATCCGTGACCCGCTGCGCTATTGTATATCCATGATATTGTATGCACATGCATGCCGACTGACGCGAAAAACGCGTCTTGCAAAATGAAGCGTGGGCGATCGCCATGCTGTGCTCAGGAGAAGGGCGCCGTTACGCCACTGCATGCGGTAGCGACGGCGGATGTGACATCAACGACCCCCAGAAACCCCAGGACCCGGGAGTCTCAATATCGTGAAGATGGCGGGCCAGGCAAGGGCGTGGTGTGTACTCCGTACATGGCGATACTTTCACCGCATGCAGGCAATCTTCTGCAAGCACACGCGCAGAGGCAAGCAGGTTTCAGTGCTGAAACCTCCCACGGCCAAAAACCCAAGGCCCCATGTGACACCGGCTAGAGTTTGGTCATTGCGCAAACAAAACCATTGGGCCCGGAGCGCCGCCAAGGCGGTTGTCTGGGGTGGCAGCGCGGTGCTAAAACGGGCGTGCGTGGGCTGGCTCCGGGCCTGTCAAGAGGGAGAGATTGCAAGCTTCTGAGCTGACTGCAAGCAGCGCACGGCGTGACACCGACGCGCTCGCCGTGTCCGGGCAGGCGTAAAGTGCATACATACAGCGCCGCGGTGGCTTGCGTTTTTTGTGCAGCGCTGGCGGCATGCGGGGATTGGCTGATGGCCGATGCTGCCGTCGATGCAGGCTAGCGTCCTCCCGACACCAGCGTGCGAGCCCCCATGGCCCATACTCTCGCTCGCCGGATCCGATCTCTAACCAGCGTCCTCAGCCTCTCGCTCATCCTCCTCCTCCTCTTCTCCTTCACCCTCCTTCCCCCCCCCTCTCCGCCGCCACCCACCCGTCGGCTCAACAGCGGTCCAGTGAACGGGGTGAGTGCCGTGCACATTTCTTCCCTGACCGCACATCCTCCTCCCATAAGTCTCAACCTACTCCCTGCTCACCCCATCTCGTCACCGCTCCGCCCAACTCCACTCTGCTCAGTAGCCCCATCCGCGCCGGCGAAGCCTTCGGCCTTCTTCCTCTTCGTCGTCCCGCCCGCGGTTGCTAATCCTCTCCTCCTGAGCCTAGAGTTGACTCCCTCAATCATACCGATTGAACGTCTCCAATCCCGCCTCACTCGTCCTGTCCTGTCAGCCGTGCACACATTGTACACTCCGTGCAATTGGTAAGTCACTGACCCCAAAAACACCCCACTTCGCTGCCCGCCCGGACGCTCCGCCTCTCCCTCTCGACCGAGCCCGACCTGAGCACCGCTGGACACACCGATCCCCCTTCGCCCGTGCTGCTGCTGCTACTGCTGCAACGACCGTCCGCCTCCGTGAACGACGCACCTGCATCTCAAAGTGACGGCGAGGGCTCCACAAGTGGCCTGCCCCTGCCTCTCCGTCCTCGACACCAAACACACCATCAAACAAGAAGAAGATCTGTCGGTCGGATGTCAATGAGAAGAATGGTCTGAGAAATCTGCCCTCGCCCCCAGCTGGCTTGGCCGAAGCTGTTGTTCTCTCTCTCCCTCAATTGGCACGAGCCCGCGCGAAACCGCCTGCAATCCGCCGCCTGCCGAGACAAATCAAAAGACACGACCTCAAGAATTTCTTGTGACTGTCGCGTCGGCGCCTTTTATCGGATTTCTCCCTTCGCAGGCCTTGACTTTGTCTCAGTCATTCCTGCGTCACCCTTGGCCCCAAGGAACAACTGATCCCCAGCGCGCAACACCTTCTCGAATTTTCGGCCAGTGCAGGATCTACTCAGGATCGGATTGCTCAGGAACGGCACCGTGGAAATTGAGACCGCGACCTCCACACGCGTCTAAACCCTGGATCGATCATCATCAATGACTCTTCACTTTTTGCATCACTGAAGAACCAGCTGACTAACCGAAGACCCGACCCAGCAGTACACTCGACCCCTCACCCACGTGCTCCTGACTTTTCTGGCTTCAGCCCGATAAGACAGAATTGACCTCCGAGCATCACTGCTTCAAGGAGGCAATAAGCATTTACAAGGTGAGCATAGGCGGTCGCGGCGCAATAAAATAAAGGTCGCGTGCTGATTGGTGTTCCTTGTTCTAGGTTCCTGCTTCGACGGGAATTTTCCACATTCCCCAGACTCACCACCCTTTGGCGGACTCGTTAATTCGTGCTCTGCCTCCTGAAAATACCCCTGTGGCGAGCTTGGCTTTCGAGACAAAATCCGACCCCGCCTCGCCATTCCTCTTCGCGGGGACTGGATGATATTTGCAAGGGACGCAGTTGCTCCTAGTCTCGACTTCCTGTCGACAATTTCACTTCTTCAGGTGCCTACTTTCACTCCTTTCCAAGTAATCTAATCGAGAAGGTATGCATAATTTCGGCCCCAATTGTCCGTCGCGTCACTAACCGATCGGCCCGCACGTTCCAGGCGTCATTTGAGGGGCCTCCTATAATCGTCTTCGGCCACACCACCGAACCGTTACTGGATCCCACCGTCGCCCTATACCAACTAATTTCATTCTCTCCCACGCCTAGTCTCTCTAGGCTGTCACTCTCTAATCACGGTTATCGCACCGGACCGCACTCCCTCCCGTGTCACCACCTGGTCGACATAGTCTATCTCGAAAAGACGTCCACTCATTGAACCAAACCCCGCCTCACCTTTACAACATCCACCATGGCCTTCCAACAATCAACCCAACAGCGCCACGGAAACTGCGACAGCTACTTTGTGGAGATGGAGGACGAGGGTATCTACGCGATCCGCGCTGAGGCTAGGGAGCGCTCTCGGGCTATTGCTAGGATGCAGCAACGTGCGTTGGCGGATGAGCTCTCGAGAATGACGGCGGAGGAATACCAGGAGGATGTTCTGGACCACATGGAGCACATGGAGGTGAATTGTGCCGCTCAAGTTGCGCCGTTGAGAAACGACTAACATTGCCCCCTTGTCGCAGGCCGAGACGATGCCAGACGTCAACTCCATCGACATTCAAACCGAGATCCAGTGGTTCATGCGCCCTTACCTCCTTGACTTCCTCGTCGAAGCTCACGCTGCCTTCCAACTTCTCCCCGAGACCCTCTTCCTCGCCGTCAACCTCCTCGACCGCTACTGCTCTCGCCGCGTCGTCTACAAGCGTCACTACCAGCTCGTCGGTTGCGCCGCCCTCCTGATTGCTGCCAAGTACGGTGACAGGAAGGAGCGCGTTCCCACCGTCCGCGAGCTCAAGTCCATGTGCTGCTCGCTGTATGACGATGAGATGTTCACTCAAATGGAGTGGCACGTTCTCCAAACCCTCAACTGGATTATTGGCCACCCTACCGTCGATGGCTTCCTGCAGATTGCCATGTCCGAAACCACCTACGATTCCGAGGTCGAGCACATGGCCTGGTACATCAGTGAGATTGCCCTGTTCCACAAGGAATTTGTCTCCGTCCGCCCCTCCGTCCTTGCTCGCTCTGCGCTTGCTCTGGCTCGCTGCGTGCTCGGTCGTTCGCAGACCCGCAACTCCGAGTGGGCTGGCACCTACGACCCCGTCGTGGTCCTCAACCTCTCTCACCACCTCTACCAGCCGTCTCAAGTTCTTTCTAGGAAGTACGCCTCGATGCACCTATCCGCCGTTTCCACCACCGTCGAAGAGTTCCTTCAGCGCCAACAGCAGATTGCCCGCCGCAACATCACGCCTCCCACGCCCCCGGCCATGGAGACAGACAAGCCTGCTGCTGATTGTTACCTGACCCCGTCCACCCCCCAGAAGAGCCACTATGACGCTGTGATGGCTCACGGTTGCCTTACTCCGCCGATCACCCCTGATCAGGAGTTTGGTGGCAACAGCTATGCCAAGATCGCCCCTAGGACCTACCCAGCTACCCCCACATCGGCCCCCGCGGACATGCAGCAACAAAACCAGGGCCAGTACAACTACCAGCAGTACCTTCAACCTCGCATGATGCAATAGATAGCTCTTGGTCGTCCCAGGCTACATCGTCGGCAACCAAGTTTTTTGTCCCTTGCGCAGAGCAGTCAGCCCTGATGCACTGGGCAACCTCGCCGTCGTAGGTAGCCTGCAACCTTCTCATCTTTCTTGTATCAAAGACTGCTGTATGAGCGTCATAGCGTTGCCTTCTTTTTGTTTTTAGTTTGCATTGCGAGCGTCCTTTTTTTCACTTCCAATTTGCTTTTTTTTTGCTTTAGCGGTTTCATTTGTTCACAGTTGAACAGATCACCAAAAGAGTGATCAGCAGAGGCCTCAGTTGGAGGTGGAGCCGTGTGGATGGAAATCAGTGCAAGAGACGAGCTTGACCAGAGGGCCAGAATCTGCTTGCTCGACAGAGACCAGACGTAAATCCTTGAACCTTGCGGGATAGCCATCCATAATATAAGGTTGGATATACTCTGGTGTCGTTTGTCGCAGCAGAGTTTTTGTGAGGTCGTTTTTACTCGTGGAGGGATAAAATTGCCAACCGTTAAGGTCCGTTGGATGTTCTGCTTTTCACGCGCGCAACAAAAAGAAAAAACCAGATCCCAAAAAAAACACAAGCACAGATTTCTCTTCCCCGTCATTCTCGGATGGTGGACGGCACAGATACCCTTCTTGTTTGTTTGTTCGCTTTTTTCCTTTTTCTGTTTTATTTTTTCCTTTTCCCCCCTCTTGCAGGCTGGTGGATACACAAGGTCGCTCTTTAGCTATATTGCCAAGGTGCCCGACGTGCTGAGTGAAGCCAGGTGGGAGTTTCGGTTGCAAACCACCCATGCAGCACATACAACAGCAGCAGCGGTGGGAGATAGGACGCTCGCTCAAGTTTTCTTGGTTTCATTTTAAGATTGGGAACAGGGCCCCGTAGTTTTTCTTGGGCTGCGAAACCGTTGCTGTTGCAGAAAAAGAAAAAAGTAGCAAAAAAAAAAAACAGTCGCTGTCCATAGTCCTCCTGTCCCTGAGCTCTGGCATAGAATCTGGACCCCGTGAAGTCGCGATACGAGCCCTGGGCCCCGCTTCGGGAGTTATTGTTTCCCGGAGATGAGCAAGTGCCCCCTTGCAGATATGAGACGCTTCAGCTTTCGCCTCTGCACAAGCGCTCACGGGTGGAGAGAGGTGAGCAGACCCGACGTGTGACGAATGACGCTTTGCAAGCAGGAGGCGGGTTTGGGGATTCGGGCAGCAGGCATACAGATTCCCAAAGCGGAGCAGCAGCAGGGCAGGCGCAGCGCGTCGTGCAGCAGGAAGACGAGAAATCGCAGCGCGCAAAGCGCGGGCAAGCAAGCGGAGCAGCGGAGCCAGTGATAAGCAGCGGCACGAAAAAGCAGCAACAGACTGCGCCCCTGATAGGTATGTAGGATTCATTCTCATGAACACGGCGACGACAGCAGCAGAGATCGACGGGGGCGGGCAAGACGCTATTTTTGTGCGAGGGCGCGAGGCGCAGTTTCAAGGTTCTTGCGACTGCGCGCCACCGCCGCCTTACTGCCCCACTCATTCACTGCAACAGAAATAATGGCGGCCTTATAGTCGCGGTGATTAGCAGGACGCGGGTAAAAAGGCAAGCCATGTCCGCGCTGGCCTTTTGCCATTGGCCTTGCTACCTACTGTTGTCTCTTGACGCAAGCCCAGAACGCCCACCAAGAAGCCCCCGACCCCGTGTTTTATCTATTTCATGCACTGGTCATGTCGCAGGTATGTGTTGAAACTTGACTGAGGCAACACACGTACACAACAACAATATCATCATCATCGTCATTATCATCATCCATCATCACGCATGCACCCAGCGCGCCCTTGCCCACCCCCGTACAACGACGAAGCCATGTCACTAACGCGCGCGGGCAACCAGCCCTACGAGTCCTCAGGCGCACCACCACCGCACAACCCCAACGGCGGTGCCAACGCCAACAACCACCCCGCCGCCGCGCGCGCATCCCTCCGCCCCGACGCCGCCTACGAGCCGTACCGCAGCCCCGCCGAAAACGGCACGCCGCTGCGCCACTACGCGCACTCGCAGGTGTCGCGCACGTCGCTGGACTCGACCGGGCCCGGCGTCGCCGCCGAGGACGGGCGGGGGAACGGGGGCCGCGCCCTCGACGTCGAGGATATGCGCGAGCCTACTCACCATAAGGCCGCTCGCGGCACCAGGAACGGCTGTGAGGCCTGCTGTGGCTCGTGCCTTTCTAGCTGCTTGACCATGTAAAGCCTTGGTGTGTGTGAGAATTTAAGAGACCGGGTTTGGCGTTTTGCGGGGAAGGGCGTTGGGAGCTTTTTGGGGGTTGTGCTGCTTAGATGGGTTGGGGGATTGTGGATGCTTGGAATGTTGCTTGAGGCTCTTGAGGAGCTGCTTTTTTCTTTCTTACCATTCGTTCGGTTGTTCCCACCATGACGAGGTGTAGCAGCGGCGTTGCGGGGCCGCTTTGGCATTGTAAGAAAGATGTTGACTATGAATAATAATGTTAAATCTTCCTCTGCTCCTTGCTGAGCGGAAGTGCGCAGGGGTCCTTAGCTAGAGAGCGTGCGTAGTAGCATGTGCCGCAAGCCCGCGTCAAGAATTGCGGAGCTAGATCCGGCGCGGACGTCATACCGGACCGCGTTCCTTGCGACCAGACGTGGTAAAGGTCGCGAGCTCTTTGCAGACACCGAGACAGTGGTACAGGGACAAAGGCAGGAAGAGTCGGATCCTGCACACAATACCAGCGCGAACACAGACAGCTGCACCGCGCCTGAACGAGCGCCCGCTCCAGAATAGAAGCTGGCCAGGCCCGCTCGCAAGGCTGAAACACCCTGCCACCGTCCCACGTACCTGTCCCACAAGGTCTGAGGTAAAGAATGCTATTGTCATCATGCGTGCGCCCTGCTACACACACGTTGAGTCGTGTCTGCGATCCTCACGCTTTCCGCGTCGCGTGCACACTGCTACACTTCGGGTCCAGGTGGTAATTTTCCTTGGCCGTGGGTGCCGTCTCACACTCCGCATTCCATTCCTCTTACGCCGCGAAGCGACCTCATACTTTGGTAACCGAGCTTCGCATGGCTGTTGGTTCGCCGCGGGCTATGTTCGCTACGAATCGACTTGCTGTCGAGTACGAGTGTCTGATTATCCTCATCAATGGTCAGATTCCCGTGGCGAAAATGGAAATGTCCCTTGTTTGTCTGACTATTCTGCCCCAAAGCCACTGCCTGCAAGATTACCTCTTCGTATTCGTGAGGCGTGTCGGTGAGGTGGCGGTACTGAAAGAAGGGGAGTCTGCATGAGACAGCATGATACAAAGATGCGGCTTGCTCTTTCTGTCATGTAATGCCCCTCACTATTAGGAGAAAATTTACGTCTAGCGAGATAGCGAAGGACATAAGCAGTCCCTACAGAGTATTCCATGCCTGGCTCACAGCCCGAGTCCTGGGTATGGGTGCAACGGTCTTAGAGCACACGCAGACTCTGCGCATCATGGCTGGGTCTCTTCTTCTACTCCATACAAGTATCACCGTCTCGCTTCACGGTGAATCTCGTTTCATGGTGACGGACGTTACAAGCTTCTTAGGCGATGAATTTCGCTTGACGGTGACGGATTTTAACCATTGCTGGTTAATACAAAAATCCTAAAAAGTTCTAGGCTGAACTTAAATAATTGTGATCTCTCTTGAGTCTTCGAGTTCCCACTGGTATTTGGACAGAAAGTTAGATTGTGCCAGGAGGCCTACTCGATAGAACTTGTTGGGGGTTTCTGATTCGGGATCCGCAGGTTCCAACAGAAGACAAAATATGTGGTTCAAAGTACCACTGTTTGGCAGCGATCTGTGAACAATTGGTAAGCACCACAAGTTCCGAGGATAGGTGACTCTGGTTGGTTCCCGATCCCAAGTTATGTTTTGAAAACGCTTATCCCAAACGCACTTCAGCCAACCGTTGCAAGTATCTGCAGGAATTGCAGAGTTGGGGTATACGAGAAGATGCATGGGGAATCCCATAAGCTTGATGGATCCCCCTTTCAGCTGACCCATAGGATCTTCCGTTGCCAGATCGGCTTCGACATGTTTGATTTCCGCAAGATATCTGAGCTCCTTGGGAGATTTGTACCACCTCAGATCGAACTCAAGTTTGCCATCGACCGACGCCCATGACCACGAAGGGGCTCGATAAAGGAGTGCTTCAGGTGACATAGGCGAAGTATCAGGTGAATACGACTTCTGCCAACATAGCGCTCGAAGCATATCTCCCTCCCATAAGCCGGCGAAGTAACGTTCCCGGAGGAGATTTTGGAACGCTTTAGCTATGCCAGAGACAGCTACGAGTTTGTCCCGATCAGGGTATGATAAAAGTCTTTGCGAATAGTCCACGAGTAAGGTGATCCAAAGCTCGTGCCATGATATGGTCATCTTCTTTGAGATTGTTGGCGGGATCTTCAGGAGCGAGATCCACTGCTTGGGTGTCCGGTTATGGCTATGCCATATTTCTGAGGCACACACCTTATTGCATTCCCAAAAGATCCCGTCGTTTGAGAAGTAGAGAATTCTGGGCGATAGTAGTCGTTCCTGTAAGGTCCATCCTCTCATTTGCAGTGGTAGCGAATGAGATTCCACATTCTCGAGCCAAAACGCGTCTTCTTTCTTCTGGGTTGTAAGCCAGGAGGCCTTGCCGTCCAGAATAGACGATGCGCCTTCTGGCAAGAGGCAGGAATCAGAGTGAGCTGGTCTCTTCGCAAAACATCCGAAGCTGGCGCTTGGTGAACATGTTGCGGCGATGGTCAGGGCGGAATGTTCGAAAACCTGAGCCATTCGTGCAGATTCAGCACCCCAATCTTCTGGCGAATCCTGAAGAATACATAAACTGTCGATCCAAAGATAGCCGAAGCCAAGCCCGGAGGTTATCTCGATGGCATCACGAAACTTGATCGCCAAGGCATCCAACGGCACCTCGTTCATCATGTGAGCTTCGTTTTGTGTGGTTAGTGTCAAGAAACGTTCCACGCCCCAACAGTGGCTCAGGGTCACGTAGGTTGTACCCGTCGGCAACGTTGCTCCCCAGCGGAGGCGAGCAGACTTTGGCCGTTTGGGATCGTGAGTGCGTATCTCAATCAAACGGGTTGGCAGACGATCGCCAGGGGTGAATCTGGATGTGCACTCGGAATGGTTATTGAGGCATTTATCCAGCCATAAATTGGCGAGTTTAAACGTGTGCGGAGAGGATGTTGTGGGGCCTAGCGGGTGTAGGGGCAGAATGTCTTCTGGGAAGCAGAAATTGGTCAGCTGAAGAGACCACCAACGGGCTGAAGCACTGCTGACCAGGGACCTCGATCATTGTGAAGGCCAAACGTTGGCAGGTATCTTTCTCCTTTAGCACAATGCCGAGTTGCCCCGAGGATGGGTCGACAGCTTCGAGCTTGGCCTCGATGGGACTCTGGAGGTCGCCCGCACCGGTAGCAAACCACACCGGGCGGTTGACCCAGAAGAAGGCGCAGAGGGTGCAGAGGGAGCATTCCGCACAGTCCCTCAACGCCGCCAAGGATGCATGATGGCGTTTCCAAGATGCGGTGTGGGAAGCACGGCGGCGTGAGATGTGTGGAGGGTGGACGAGGAAGTCATTGCAGGGCGCGCAGAAGTGCGCGCGGAGTGGTTGTGCTCGGGCAACGTCAAGGCTGAGCATGAATAATATGCGTTTCAGGGCAAAGCGACAACAACATGGACAGGAGTTATTTGTGGCCAAGGCGCCGAGGTGGTGGTGGTGGTCCTCATGGTCGGGGTCGTGCAGTGTGGGGTGTCAGCAGCAAGGCGCAGCAGCCACTGATGAAATGTATGGGCGGTGGCCGCGGGCCCCAGAACCCTTTGGCGGGAGGATCAGTGGATAAGCCAGTCGTGTGCCCAAAATAACCCCCGGCCGACAGCCCATAAAGGTTCCCCACGTCTGACGCTGTTTGGGTTTCGCAGCGAGCATGCGCGCCCGACAGCGGCAAGGCGATCACAACTTTGATTCATCTCAGCCACACGCTGCCAAGGGCGCCCAGTCACCCCAATTACCGCCGAGACGACGCGACACTCCACCATCCCTGTGGCTTTAGGATAATAGCCAACCTAGCTGCTCCTCTGGCGCTCTCTTGCCCGTCTGCCCCCTACAACCCCATGAGCCGCCATCATGGACGCGTGGAATAACCAGAAGCTGCCCTTCTCCAAGAAGAAGCTCTCCAAGAAGGTCATCCTATCGTCAGTTCTGCCCGCGCCGAACGCCCGAGACATGCGCTGACCAGCTACCCCAGTTACATCTTCGACTACCTGATCATCGTGTACGTACTCCCCCCTCGTCCCTCCTCGCGCGACCTCTTTCCCGAAACAGACACGGCTGACGCTCGCCTCGCAGCATCCTCATCATCGCTTTCTACGCTCTAGATTCCGTCGAGCCCTACCACCAGCACTTCGCCTTGCAAAACTACACCCTACAGTATCCATACGCCGTCCATGAGCGTGTCCCGGTCTTCGACCTGTGTCTCATAGCCGTGCTCGCTCCGGCCATCATAATCGCCATATACACCCTCGTCATCGATGGCCTCTTCTCCGCCAACAAACCGCCCGCCGGTCCATCGGGAAGGAGGAAGTTGACGGGGAAATACCGGATGAAGGACAGGCTGTGGGAGCTGAACTGCGGTGTCCTGGGGCTGCTCCTGTCCGTCGGAGCGGCCTTCACTATTACTGGTATGAGCTTACTGCGCGGGAGCTTTCGCTGCGAGGAGCTAATAAAGTATAGGCACGCTGAAGAATGCGGTGGGCAAGCCGAGACCGGACTTGATCGATCGCTGCCAACCAATCCCCGGATCCGTAGACCCTATTCCCTACGGACTTTCGAACCACAGCATCTGTACGCAGAAAGACAACAACATTCTCAAGGACGGCTTCAGGAGCTTTCCCTCCGGCCACAGCAGTAGTAAGCACATGTGATCTTTTCCCGTTGGAATCTCAACTTAACCATAGCTCCGCAGCTGCTTTCGGAGGACTCTTTTACCTCTCGATCTACCTGGCCGCCAAGATGCACGTTCTCGATTCCAAGGGCGAAGTTTGGAAGTCTTTCATTGTGCTTGTCCCGACTCTCGGCGCCGCGCTGATTGCAGCTTCCCGTATCATGGACGCACGTCACCACCCATTCGATGTCATCACCGGCAGTATGATTGGTCTTCTGACTGCTTGGGGCGCCTACCGTCAATACTTCCCTCCTGTGAGCGAGACTTGGCGCAAGGGCCGTGCCTATCCGATTCGGAGCTGGGGAAGGGAGCCCCAGCCCCCGGATGCGACGTTCAGGACTGACGAAGGTGTCGAACCAATGCGCGGACAACCCCATCCACTGAAGCCGATCGACGAAGAATCGCCATTCAATGCCTCCACGACCGCGCTCTCGAGCGCTGGCCCCGAACCCGGTACCGGGAATGGCAACCTCTTCCGCCAACAGATCTCCAACAGTCAGCGCCATCGCGCAGCAGCCATAGAGGCGTACAGCGGCTCGCAACCCACACCTAGTTCCATGTACAGTGCCGACCTAAACCGCGCACCTACCACCACGACGTACAGCTCACAACTTCCTGCTGCGAACCCTTATGATGACCCTAACCCTTTCAGCGACTACAGTTCCACGCGCCGAAGACGCAACGATGGATACACGAGCAGTTCGTCTGAAGACGAGGCTGACGAGTTCGAGCTGCAGCGCAGCTACACATTGCGCAGCCCGCAAGGAGCGGCTAATCCAATGATGGGCGCCTACGATTCGGATACGACGTATCACCGACCGAATGTTCCGACGGCAATGGGAACGAGGAACCTGACCGGTGGCCGGGTGCCACCTGGGGAGGAAGCGGATCTGGGCACCGGCGGCGGCATCACGAGTCCACCTGTGCCGGCGCATACCGTTGCCTACCCAAGGTGATCTAGCGGAATCGTATGGGGCGAGGAGAGCTTTCTTAAATCTCATCCCGGACGAGAGATGGGGGAGATTGGACATAGGGGTATGTATTTCACTTGGGCGTTTTAGGGTGGGGTATATCTTCTTCTCTTTGAGCGTTGGCGCTTTTGTGCACAGTCTTTCCTGTGTTCATAGATTTTTTGGTAGTTCACGGACTGCCGGTTTACGATCACGAATAGGGAAAAGTATGTACTCTTTTTTCCTCGAGACTTTGCGCGGATGTAGGGTCTGGTGATGGGCGGTCTCCGAAAGTCGAGGTGTCGATGGTCCTATTGGCTCTCGTTGGACGCTGAATATCTTGAACATTAATAGAAGCTGCGATCAACACTTGACACTCGACGCTCCCCACATCCCACGGCAATAAAACACCTATCCATGTACACATGCGATTGATCTTCGACACCGTTCAGCTCTTTGGCTAAAGCTGGTCAAGTGCCTGTAGGACAAGGGCATCTTGTACTTATTGCAATAAGCTGACCACGTCGCACAAGGACACAGCCCCGCCTCATCCGCTGCCGCCGATCTGTCCGGGGACCCTTTATTGCCGCAAGAGTACAAAAGCATTCCACATCGAATCAGCTCGGCACACTGAGACCGGTCAGCCGAGAGAAATGCACATAAGCGACGTGCATGCATGAGTGGCATTGGCGGAGCCGGCTGTGCCCTTGAACAGCCTCACCCGTCCCTTCCGCTTTTAACTCCGCAGAGGCGTGTTGCTGTGGGCTGTGCGACGCGACCACGGATTGCTCGCCATGATTCCACCTTACGAGGAAAAGAATGTGGGCAATCGCCCGATATACCGTCCTTTGCGCAATCGGCACATCCGTCTGGTATGCATCGAGCCTGCAGACCAATCGTTGTCCGAGCTGCGATGCCGTCTGGTACATATGCCCCTGGAAGGAGTTGGCGCCGCCGACTACATGGCACTTTCGTACACCTGGGGAGGGTATGAAACCGAGGCGCATGTTTTCTTAACGGACTCCTGCAAAAGCCTCGCCATCACGACAAACTGTGCGCAGGCAATCCGCTGGCTTCGGCTCAAGGCGGAAATAAGGTTCGTCCAAACAACGTTGAGCTCGACCAGTGGCTCACCAACGATGCATTTCTAGGCTGGTATGGATTGATGCTATATCAATTGACCAATCCAATGTACAAGAACGAAACTCTCAGGTGCGCATGATGGGGGACATATATCGGAACGCCGGTCTGGTAATTGTTTATCTCGGTGAGGAATCATGTCATACGTCCATGAAAGAAATATCGAATGCAGATGTTTCGAAACGGAAATCAAAAGACATCGCTCCGGACATTCTCTACAAACCATGGTTTCGACGCATCTGGGTCATTCAAGAGGTCGTGTTATCCAAAGCCGCCATGGTAATCTGCGGAGAAGCATGTATATCTTGGGATTGCTTTGTAATGTGGGCAAATCGACATCGTTCACTTGCACTGCCGGGAGTTCTGTCTTACGGCTCAGGCTTTTCTCCCACGAAAAAAACATTACTCCACCAGCTGCAAGCAACACGAGGTAGCCGCGCTTCGGATCCACGCGACAAAGTTATTGCACTTTTAGGACTTCTCCCTCATGAGGAATTCTTACTTTACAGTCCTTTGATAGACTACCGGCTACGTACGGAAATCACCTATGCGAAAACGGCCTCGATGGTCATACAAGCAGAGAGATCGTTAAGAGTACTCTCGGCGGTCCAGAACTCGTCATACAGATATCTCAAGTTGCCATCTTGGGTCCCTGACTGGAGCATACCTAGCCGGCAAAAGGTCCTGGGCATCGATGCTACAATGGGCGAGCCATACGACGCTGGAGGCAGGCCGGCGCATTGTGAAATCATTCGAGAGGAGATCCTCAGAGCTACAGGGCTTGAGATAGGCCGTGTGGTGGGCATGACAATGCCGGCCTCAGATCTCAACAAATGGTACGAGTACTTCAAAGCCCACTGGCGATCCTCGCCCAAGATCAGCAAACAAGACCACGACCTGAAGCCCTCACAAATATTCCAAAAAATCATCACCGGCCGCGCGTCTTCCACCATCGACTCCTCCTGGACGGACCCCAAGCCGCACTCGCGCTCCCTCCTGTTCGGAAAACGCATGGCCCCGGAAATCAGACGGCGGGCCCAAAGAGTGTGCTCGCGCCGTCTGCTCTTTCGCACGGAAACAGGCCTCTTTGGCATCGCGCCCGTGGACACGCGCAAAGACGACGTCGTCTGCGTCCTCTTGGGCGGCCCGACGCCGTATATCCTGCGCAGAGAGGGCCCGGAGTCCAAGTATTTTGCGCTGGTCGGCGAGTGCTATGTCTACGGGATGATGAACGGGCAGGCCCTGGCGCATCTGGAGGCGAAGCTGCGGGCTGCGGGCCATGTGTTTTGCTCGGCGGCGACGGCGACGGCGGCAGAGTGGCCGTGTTCGGCGCCGCTGAGGGATTTTGTTATTCGGTGAAGTGGGGTGATTATTTGTAGGATAATTGGAGTGTATGCAATTTAATCATGGGAGGCGGAGTTTACTTTCTGTAGGATTCATGGGCTGAAAGTATTAATTTGTGTTTGTCTGGTGCGTGGCTCTTGCATGTATTGTCATTTGTCATATGGCGAAACCAGCACCTCTTCGTTCACCTTCATGTCTTCGGTCCAGGTAGACACCGGTGATTCGGTCAAGAGGATGGTGCGAATCCTGGAGGGGCGGAAGATTTGTTATTTTCAACGACATGTCCCCTCTCAACCTGTGCTCCCGCTGCTGCTGACACATGGCTTTCCAACCAGGCCTGTAGCTCACGGTCATATTTGCTTCTAGCTGGGAACTGTCAGTCCTTGGTGTTGAAGGCGGACAGTTTCTTGTTATTTCGGTAATGGATATCGTCGGTTAAGGGGTACTACCTACTGTTTGTTGGATGACCCCCGATGATTTGTCCACCCTCTAAATATTTTGCCCACGACGTTTCTCTGAATACAGAAAGGAAAAGCATCATCCCAAAGCCAGATGTACATGGGAGAGGCGATTCTCTCGTTCTCGTTCCAAGGAATGTTGGAGTGGTGCACGACGAGTCGACGACTTGGTGACGTCTGGCCTGTGATAACATGGAAAGGCTCGATGATTTGATTGTAAGACTGATATCAAAGCATCTTTACACCGGAAGCCCCTCAATGATGTTGACGGCCTTTTTGTACGGTTCGCACTTCTGTTGATCCATGGCACCCAGCTTGGCGTTGTTGAATTCAGCCGTGAATGTCGAGAGGGTAATTTGCCCTTTCGTATTATCTTCACAGCTATAGTAGCTCGCTTTATCTACTCGCTGCTCATCTCAATGACATCATCATCGCAAGGATTGCTGCAGTGTTGTGATGCCTTTATGCTGGTCGGAGCCTGAAGACTTACCCCAGCCCATGGCACACCACTCTCAGAGCCAGAGGGTGGTCCATTCCACGAATGCTGACCGTTTAAAGAAATCCAGATGCTGAACTTATGTATGCTCGTCCTGGGTGTCGCGGTCATAGAACAACGACGAAGACACACCCCTCGCAATCACGCTCTACTTCATCACCTTTGCCTTGCGCTCTTTACCGGGTCTTTACCCGCCCGAGGCCGCAACGAACAAGGGCGCCACTCGTAAGTCGCGCCTCAGTTCTTCATCCAAACACACCAAAGACATCCCGCAAAACAGTGACGATCATCACTGTATCTTCTATCAAATAGTCATCATCAACATCAAAAGCCGGTGGTTTGCAGCAAGAAGCAAAAACGACAGTGACCTACGGCTCCAAAATCCACAGCATACGAATTCCGTGATCCTTGTGGACAACTCCATAGTCCATACTCCGGCGACCACTCAGATATAAAGACACTGGCACCACAGACACCCCTCATTTTCGCTAAGGCAATCACTTAGCCCATGGATGGCCGGCTTGTTCATGATGTGTGCAAACGGATTGGTGGTTGAGTTGTGTTAGATGTGCTACTATGAGGCACGACTAATAAGGGCACTATAGGCCATTTCTTATAATATATATATATACATATATTTCTTGGTCAGCACTCACCAACACAGCAAGCCGTCACAAGTGACAAAACGAACCTCTCAATTCTCAAACCAGCACATCCAGCCTTCCACCAACTCAACACTCACGAAATCATCATTCACCATCTCGCCTACCTGTTCCTTTATACGCAGCAGCACACCCACAAAGCTTCCCCTTAACCGTGCTACCGACTCTTCCTGCGCCTAAGCATGGGGCCAGTGTGGCAGTGGCCATGTTTCTGGCTTGGCCCGCCAGCATCGTCGCGTCGTCTGCTCGCTCTTGCGGGCTGCGGCTTTTGTCCTGTTTCTGTTGAACATACACACATACGCGCACACCATTATCCTTTTCAGGTAATAGTCACCAGCACAGCGGTACAGTGATATCGGACATCACCGCCGCCGCTGCCATGTCTGCATCGGCCCTTGAGTTTGCTTATGCCCTCTGGTAGCACATCATCGGACGTCAAGGCTGCGCGGGGCGACCTCCCCATGAGATCCAGCTGTGAGATAGTGTTTGATGACCGACTTTTCGTCTTATGGGACAGCTCTTTCGCCCAGACCGTGGAGTCAAGAGCACCGGCGCACTGCCGTCGTGTTTTTATATCTTCCCAAACGTCAGCGCTCGGAGATTTTGCGAGTGGATATGGTGGGGCTTGGAAAGGTAAGACGTTACCACCAGGACTTTCCTTGCAGCACTGATACTGATAATGGTATATATACACTGGGCCATCAATGAGGAGACGTTATGAGGGTTCGTTATGGTATAGAAACCGGCACTGAGCTATATAAATTGGTCAAGTCGTCATGAACAAACACTTACTTACTGCTGATAAGGGCAAGTGCTCCCTTCTCGTCAACACCGCTACCCGCTACCAACCATCGCAAACAAGGGTATCCCCACGCCCCAACGCCAGCGCCAACGCCAACGCCAACACCGACCAATGCACCGCTCCCCTCTCTCCATCACCGCATACAAACATACGCGCGCCAAAGCCAGCCAAGAAAACGACCGAAAAACGCCACGCTCCCAATGCGAAAGGCCCACCCCCTACCAAACCCCCGCCAACCAGCAGCAAAATCAAAACCACCACCCCCCAGCCCTCACCAAGCTCGCTCGCCTACCCCCCTCTTTCCCAGCTCCACCACCGCTCTCACCCCCTCCCTGGCTCCCCACAACAGTCCAGCTCCCCAACGGACTCCCACACCGCATCCTCGGATCCAGATTAATGCGCTCGCGCGCACCACCAGCCCCCCTCCTGCCGCCTGTGCGCCTACTCACCGCCGCTGCAGCCGCGGCCGCAGTAGCGGAGTCCAGATGCGCTAGCTCGACGCTTTGCCGACACGTTATAGCCAGCGGAAGAGGCAGCGGGGGCGTCTGGTTGAAGGCACTGAGGGGGGAGGCGGGCGGCGATGGACGGCAAGGGGCGTGCTGTGCCGTGGCAGGGGCTGCAAATACGGGCAGTGTAGTGGGCCTGGGCATCGAAGTTTCTTTTTCGCCACCACTGCGGCTGCCGAGGCTGCCACTGCTGCTGCTGCGCCCGTGCAAATGCGGGTTCAGGTGCTCCGGATACGTGATGAAGCTCAGGTCGTCAGCGTCGACATTCGGGGTCCCAGGGCAGAGCTCTTGAGTATGACTAAGCGTGCCGCTCTTGTAGTTGCTGCCGGCGAGCTTGCTGGCGAGCTTGGAGCCGAATCTGTTTGGTGGGCACAGTGTGCTACCGCTGCCGCGCGATACGTGCCGCTCGGCCTTGCTGCAGGCCCGGGGGGTGCCGTTGCTGGACATGCGCGAGCTCAAGCGCGTGTCGATGAGAGAGGTGAGCCGCGAGTTGAGTTTCGAGGAGACGTCGTTGAGCATGGGACCGACGTAACGGGCTGTTAGTGGGCGGAGAGCGGGCGCACAGGCGCATATCTGTTGATTGCTTCGGTGGTTAGATCTTGATTAAAGATTGATGAGGAGGCTGCCGTTTCGGGATGAGGCTGAAACGAGGGCGAAAGTAAAGGAAGACGGAAGGGGAAATAGGTGTCTGGGATTTGGGTTTGTTTTGGTGAGGCGGACGTACCACTCCAAGATCGATCTCGACTGCTGCGGCTATCCATAGCGGGTAGGTGAACCATGTCTCATCGTAGCTATCCATCAGGCCTTTCCAAATAAAGTACGTGCGCACTATGCCAGCGATGATGACAGCGAAGCCGAGGCTTAGTAAGAGCATAACGTCCAGGCGCTGGCGAATAGGCATCTGCAATTTCATGATGACGGGGACCGGCAGCAACGTGACGAGCAGGTCGGTGAAGCAGTTGACGACACCGATGATGAGGGTGACGGGACCTTCGTCCCAGCAGTGGCCGCCGACAGGGGTAGGTATGTCCCAGTATGCGCTGACAGGTCTGCAAAACGCCACTTGTTAGTGGGAGAGCACAACATAGGGAATTAATTAATGCCCTCGGGCCGTTAGAGAGTGACGTACGCGCACTGCCATATCCCAATTGCGGTGAAGACGATGCAGGTGATAACGTTGATGACGACGGTCGCGTGGATAGCCCAGAGGAACCATGTGATGCCAGAGTCCTGGACGAGGCGGTAATAGAAGCACAGCAGCGACTGCCGGGTGAAGGTAGCGGCGAAGACGAAAATGAGCTTCGCGCTAAAGGCAACTTTCAAAACGCCTATTTGATGCGGAAGAGAGGTTAGTGATGAGCAGTTTGGGCCGGTTGGTGAAGGTGGCCGGACTTTCTATGGAGGATATGGGGATGTCCCATATGTGCCTGTCCCAGTAGCAGCTGGTGTTTGCGATGATGACGTTGACTGTCAAGCCAATGGCTGTAATCTGTAGTTTTGTTAGAGAAATGTGTGCTGCAGAGTGCTATACATTTGCGAAAAAATAGAATACTGGGCAGCGAAATGGATTATAACTTAAGTAGAAAGACAATTCTAAGAAATCCGCTGTCCAGCCTAGCTGATATTGAACCATTGAACCCACTTACAAAAGCCAATATTATAAAGACATCATCAGAGCCAAACCATCGTTTGATGAAGATCCTCGTATAAAGCCGTGCCAGCACAATGACATTAACAAGAGCGATGAAGATGGCATTGACAACCACAAGCGAAGGGCCGCGAGTCACTGGATCGACATAGTTGGGCGCGGGGAAGCTGAGCAGGACCGAGATGGGAATGTTGCGCACCATGTTCAGCGGCAGGACACCATGACAGAGGCGGAGCAACGAGAAGGAAACAGTGGAAGACGAGCGGTATGTAAGGCCTGCGTGCCCCACGAGGTATCGAGCCATCGGCGTGGTGGGAGCACAGCGCAATGCAAGGCGACGCATGCGCGCAACCAGGCCCGAGCCTCTCGTCAGTAGTCAGTGGTTGGTGGACCGGCATCCCTAGACGAGGCTCCGTCGGTGACGGACGCCGTCAAACATTGAGACGGGGCTGGGCGGGGGCGGCATTGCTCAGAGCGGAGGGTGAGGCGGGGAGAGAGGATCAGTCCTGGCGCATATGCTTTTCCCATCAGCTTTTATCGTGACTGGGCGCGTTAGTAGCGTCGGCGGTGCAACATTTGCGCGCAGAGACAGAGAGAGAGAAAGAGAGTTGGTTGGAGCCCGGCCTCGTGGAAAGCGCGACCTTGCCGCAGATGGCCCGGCGCCGGCGCCCTCATCTTCTCCGATTTCATCCACTCCTCCATCGGATTTGCATCACTTCCCGGAGCTACGACTGGTGCTACTGCCACCACGCGCCCAAGTTCCCGAGTTTATCCTTCAGCTCTGCCTCTGCCTGCACCCTGCCGCTTATCCAGGCACAGGCTCCTTCAAGCCACTGTTGCCTGACCCTGCTCACTTCAAGGTTGGTGACGAAGCTTGTCCTTCGTCCGTGAGCTTGAATCCCGGTGCTCAAGCAGCCACTCCGTTTCGGAGTCATGCCGATCTGATCGATCGGTCCCTGGCTCAATCCTCAGTCCGTCCATTCAAGTGTACTTCGAATGAGTGAAAGCTGTTCGAGATTGTTGTGTTTGAGCCATCTTACCTTTACTCTCAATAGCAGAAATAAAACATGACCGCTGTTGAATTACGCGCCGAGCAAGCTTGACAAACTTCCGCACCTCCAATCCGATCCCCAGCCCGATCCCACCAGCCAAGCTTCAGCCAACAATCGCAACACCAAACATGGCATGATAATCCACACCCTCCACGCACTCAAAGAAACGCCATCCAGCCTAGTCCATCGCCTCACCGCCTCTGCACCGGCCGTAGGCCCGTAGTCCTTAGCAGAAGGCCCCAGCTCCAGCCAAGCATGCATCAGAAGCACAACCAACGCGTCCACAGCACCAATCAGCAGCCGGCATGCGCAGCACAGCACGGCAACCACCTAGGTCAACAGCTCAAAACCCTCTGTCGGGAGAAAGAAGAGGGGGATCGCAGGCAAGGGCCAAAGCACGCAAGCAAGCACTCGCATCGTCATCATCATCATAATCACCACCACCACCACCACCATCAGATGCTCCGATAACGCCCGCCCGCCCGCGCGGAGCGTGGTACTCGCCGCGTGCGGACGCTGCAGCCTGCATGCCACGCCACCACGAGCAAACGCGTGTTCGTGCATGCCCGGGCGCGGGCGTGCATGCGGAGGTCGCACGAAGCTGGTGATCGGCGGGGCGGTGGGAGCGCGTGCGCGCGAGGCCGAAGAGAGAAGCGTATGTAGAAGAAGGAGAAAGAGGAGAAACGATAACGACGCTGCATTACCTAGAGGCTTTTGGGGGGCTGATAATGCTGGTCTGTGTTTGTGAGCGGGTGCAGCAATTCGGCTTACTTGCTTGCTGTATTGGTTTGCCTGCTCAGTTGGTGCGCTTTGCCGCTTTGCTGCCGTCAGCGGGACTTCTGCGTGCGCGTTGCTGCTGTGAGGACGATCGTTCCTGACTTCTGGCCTTATGGTGTGGTGGTGTGTGATACGGGATGCACCGGGAAACGCTGAGGTGTCGGGTTGGGCTGACCTGCGTTCTGGACCTATAGGTGAGGGATAAGGTTTGCTAGGTTGAAGTTGTCTTGACCCTCCAAAAAAATTCCAATGTTGAACAGATAAAAGTTCCTCCTAAGTCCTTCAAGGAGGCTTGAAGTTGACTTGGTAGACATAACCTTGGGCCCTTTAAAATGCCTTTATGGTTAACAGATAGACGTCATTCCAGCCCTATACAGATAACCTCATACTGGCATGAGGTTATAGTAGTGCCAAAACAAAATAAATATTCCGTAAATCCATACGAAGCAGTTCGTGAAGTCGGAAATTGGCCAGTCAGCTCGACCAGACCCTGTTTGACCGGCCGTCTCATTTCCCGGCGCAACTCACATCGCGTTGCATAGCACTAGCTTGACAGCTGCAAGCTCGGCATGGCTGTTCCCCTCAAGTGTTCTAGAAAGAGCACCCCCGCAACCAAACATGTTCGTGTTCCCGTTACAATCCATTCTTCAACGTCTCCACCACGGTCTCAGTACTGATACGGGCTATCCGCCTGCGCCTCATACACATACAGCGTACTGTTCCTTTGGTCCGGCAAAAAGTACGCCCGCAACTGGCCATCGACAACGGCGACGTCGACCGGGTTCTGCGTCAAGGGTACACCCTTGTCGCTCGTCATGGTGACAGGGACTTCGGCCAACGGGGCCATCGTCGCCGCATCCACCAACGCGAGGCCGCCAAGGTTGTAAGAACGGTCACCAGATCCAACGGTCGCGACGCCACCGCATAGCATCACCGTCGTTCGATGCTGATAGTACGCCGTGCGACCGAGGAACTTGCAGTCCTGATAGTCGACGAAGAAGCTCGGATTCCGGACAGTGCTGACAGGCGCGGCCCAAAGCGCGTCGTCAGACGGAGGCCGCGGCGTCTCTGGTCCGACAGGCAGAGCAGCGCCGTCCAATAACGTCCACGTCGTCGCGTTCCGCCCGCCCCAGTTCAGCGCCGTGACCCTCTGCCCTTCAACATCATGCACGATGCCGCCGAGGTGATCCCTGGCGCGGAGAACCGTCGTCGGCTCCATCCCCTGATCGACCCTGACTACCGCCGCCGTCGTGTTAGGCCGATACTGCGCGAGCGTCGCCCACAGCGCCTGCCCGTCCCAGTCGAGCCCGCCGATGTGGTACTCGATGTCGCCGCGCCGCGTTAGGGTCGCGTCGGCGATACGCTGCCCCTGGTTGTTGAAAACGAGCAGATGCGCGAAGCCGGCTCCGGCGCTGCGATCGGTGCCGTTCGTCGTTTGGTTGTACTTGATCGTCGGTGCTGTGTATTCGCCGGCACTTACAATGTAGCGCTCAGGTCCGAGGCGGACAATGCCTTCAGGCTCGTAGGTATCGCCTTCGAAGGGGATTTTTTCAATGAGCTTCCAGGTGGTTGTACGGCCTAGGTTATTGAAAAGGCGGACAATTTCGTCGGCGTCCGATTGGGCATGAGATAATGGGTGACCCACGATGAAGGGATCGTTCGGTCGTGTAATGGTTATGTTGAGCGCATTGGAGGAAAAATAAGAGAAGGAAATTGAGAGTCTGGAAAAGAGAGCCTGGAATTTCATTATAAACTCCCTCGATGCTTCCTGGTCCTGCGACGTACTACGTATGTTCGGAAGCACTTCTCGCAGAAGTCAAAACCAGTGTCCAGTGGGCGTTTGAGTGGAGATTCGTTAGTTTGAAGTGTTCAAAGAACCAGCATCTCGGTGCTTGCGAGGATTGAGAAATGTTTAGGTGTCACCCCCGCTTTATGACGAGCTTCGAAGCGATGCCCTGGTCGCACGGTTCGCAACTACGGCTTGTCATTGGCTAGAAAGCAGTTTCCAAACTACAGTTATGTCAGTAGCCTTGTAGACGCGTCAGTCGAAATGCAAGAAGCCCCAATGCGATGAGGTGGATGATATGCTGATATGAACTATGCCTACCGTAGACATCCGTTTTCATGGAGGGAAATTAACTTCTCCAGAGGTTTATTCAAAAATCCATTGCTAATCCACGCTCTTACTCATAATCATATACGACGGTCGTTTGACTTTTCCGCCTCTAAGCCTCTTCGCAGGAGGGCTATACTCGTCCTCGTCGAAACCTAGCTTACGATAGAAACCCATCGCCGCAGCGTTGCTCGTAAAAACGGTGAGCATCACCTTAGCAACTTCGGCCTCTTCTGCTACGCGTTGTGCGATATGCATCAAATGTTGTCCGAGTCCGCGTCCGCGTTCCTCCCCATACATATGTATTTCGTAGATGTAGTTGACCGGGTAGTCATCTTCGATGGTGAGCATGAACGCGAGGAAGGCTACAATATGCGCCTCTCCGACATCTCGCCCTTCAGATAACTTTACGTCATTGGTGTCCTCCTCTTTATCTCCATTGCTCACAGGATGAGCACATGGCCGCCTGCGCACAAGCAAATACTGCATGTTCTCCTCTTTCATTTCTTGCCGTTTGTCCTTAGGGTTCCATCCACGAGACGACGCCTTGTACGCATCGATAGACGTATGCTCAATGAGCCTAAAGCACTGCTCCAACTCATCTGAGTCCAGGTGGGTGACTGGCTTGAGCGTGATGTCGTAGTCTTTGTAGCGCGTAAGCGCGTCCGTGGGTGGAAAGAAGCGATTCGCGAAACTCTCGGGCGAAAGGGCGTTTGCTGAGTCTATGATGTCTTCCGGGTGCATTTGCGGCTTCTTGCGCCTCTTGGGACATTTTTCAGTCATTGTGGTCGTGACAGTTGAGGAGTTCGAGACGCGTTTCTCGAGCACTACGACGCGTTTCTGCCAGAGTGCCGACTTGGAGGCGGTGAAAGGCCCCTCGGGCCGTCCATCGATGACGATGACGGATTTCGGAGCTTCCCCTCCTCCAATTGGCACAGCATCCCGTCCTTCCTTTCAACACTATGTTGCGGTGTCGGCAAAATGCATACGAGGTCTTTGTGCGCGGCTATGCTTCTGTTGCAGGGAAGCCATCAAGGCTGAGGGGAGCTAAAGGCACCTTTCTTGGACTCGAGCATGTGAGGCTCCGCCGGTGAAAGTGACGAAGGAATGCTAGCTAATTAAGTGGATGACTACAGTTCATACAAAGCAAAAGAGCTTTGTCACTTTGGAGAGAAATTGTGCGCGCCTTAAATAGTAAGCATTTGCCACGGATTTGGGCTTTAATGCAGCTAATTGTTTAAGAAATACCCCCTTCATCGACGAAAAGCGAGCTACGAAAGTTTGCCCGTGACGAATTTGAGCGGAACCGTCATGTCTCAGACATTGTAAGTTAGAGAGCTCGATAAGTTTTTTAAATCTAATCCTGATCGTGGGGCCTACAGACTCACATAAGATACCTCATATCGGTGAGAACGTCCTAGATACCCTAGATGAGTCTCATCATCGACCCTGGACTAATACTGTATAGACCGGAAAAACGGAATTTGACTCGATGAAGAGATACATCGAAGAGCAGGCGCTGTGATTGTCGTCATCACCGTCGCCGCAAATTGAAAATCACCATCGAGGGTTAATGAAGACTTGAATATGAAAGCGGGAAATAATCTGGCAATAGGTATGTTCTCTCTCCAAGCTGGCCTGTTTTTGTGTCAATCATGTCTTCTCACGCGTTTGCTTACATCGTGTCCATTAATAGTGGCAGTATATTTCGGGTTGGTCCAGGGAAACCATTGACCTGGTACTGGATATAGTACGCATGAGTGTATAGCTTGTTAGATTGATAACTGCAGGTGTTTGGACCAGTGAAAGCAAGAAAGAATGACCCCCTGTTTACCTTTGGCCCCCGGCATTGTTTATCATTTTGACCGTTTTATCATTTTAACTGCGTATCAAACCAGGTCTGCTATACCTACCGAGTACTCCGGTATTTATAATTTACTCTGACTCTACACGTAGGCCTCCTACACAAGGCTGTGTGGATGCGAAAGAATAAAGGTGCAAAAATGTTTTACGTGGTTACAAAAGCACGAAGCTGGAGGACTAAAAAAAGTAAGTTATATGCCTATATTTGGTACCCAATTCTCTCAAAGCTTTTCCTCTCAGTTCGTATGCATAACTTTCTCCCGGTCGGCGTTCCGTCTGCGTTTGCTTGTTCTACGTCCCTTCAGAAAAAACAAAATTCTTTTATCTACCTCAACCCCAAGCCTCACCCCCCACCCACCACCCACCACCCATCTTTTCCAACACACTGCGGCCTCCCACTTACACAACCAGCTCTAGCAACAGTGTAGAGCTATATTTACGGTACCGCCAAAGCCAAACTCCAACAAGTTGCGAGAAGCGCTTCAGTTTCTCAACACCAGCCTCCGTTGTGGTCTAGTGGCTAGGATTTGCCGCTCTCAGTAAAAGAGCATTGCTTAACGCAGTTACCGGCAAGGCCGGGGTTCGATTCCCCGCAACGGAATACCCTTTTGTCTGCGCTAGAAACGTCGGCGGTGTTGAGTTGTGGTGTTGATTAATTTTTTTTTGGTGGCTTTGGATAGCGTGGACCGTCGGGCCGACCCCCAATACGGCCGAACGCGACCAACACCCACCGCGCGAGGGCTCCCGAGCCGAAGGAAAATCATCTCTCTGCCGAGTGCTGCGTCTCTTGCGGTCTGCTCTCTGCGCTCTTTTGCGCCTTGCGTGGGACACTGGACCGCTTCGTATGTCCCTGGAAATACCTCCTCACAACTATCTGCAGACTTCTTTATGGCGATACAGGATCCTGTCACGACAGGCCATGAGTACTCTCCGTTCGGCCGACTTGAAATGTCTGCCGTAGGCTTGAGTACCTTCGAAACCGTACGCAGAGGGTCACCACACCGGGCCATAAAACATTTCTATCTAGCCGGTAAAAACTATATACCGTAGGTCTAAGTATCCTCGCAGACGCACACTGGAGGCTACCTCACCAGGCCATGAGGAACATCCGTCTGGCCGACATGGACTATCTGCCATAGGTCTGAGTATCTTCTCAATCTTACGCTGAAGGCGGACAAGACTGGGTCAACAAGGATTCAACCAGAGCTCAGTCAGAGCTCAAGCATCTTTTCTATATCATTCCTTGTCACGGCATAGACACGACGTCCAGATGTAAACCACGTTTTCGTTATGACCACGCGGAATTCTGACTACATCTCGCTTGATCTTCTCCTTCGCCCGCTGATGATGTTCAGAGATAAAGAGGACCCGGCGCTCTTCGTCAACCTCCCCGTGTGAAGACTACCACCGACATAACGCAGATCAAATACGAGAAAAAAGAAAGTTCATTTTTTGCGCCGTCCCGCTTATTCAACGCTACAACCCACAGCATGAAGAACAGCTGTTTTTTTCTAACCATTCCCGTTCACCCTCAAGGCGAACAAAGCTTGAGACCTCAACAGCCACCCCATTCTCATACTTTCAGACTCTTACAAGGAGCATCTAGATCGGACCATCCGTCACACATCCATGGCTCGCATCGCTCACCAAGCTGGCATACTTCTTCAACGTGCCCTTCTTGTACCTCGGCTCAGGCGGCGTCCAGGCTCTCCTCCTCTTTTCCAGCTCTCCGGGCGAGATCTCCAGATCCACAATCTTCTTCTCCGCATCAATGACGATTCTGTCGCCGTCCTTGGCCAGGGCGATCGGGCCGCCCTCCGTAGCTTCCGGCACAATGTGCCCGATCAGGAAACCGTGGCTTCCGCCGGAAAACCGCCCGTCAGTGAGCAGCGCGACGTCCTGACCCAGGCCGGCACCCATGATGGCGGCACTGGGCTTGAGCATTTCGGGCATGCCGGGACCGCCCTTGGGTCCCTCGTACCGAATGATGACGACGGTCTTCTCGCCCTTCTTGATTTCGCCGCGTTCGAGCGCCTCGATCAAGCCATCCTCGTAGTCGTAGCACTTGGCCGTACCCTCAAACCTCAGGCCCTCCTTGCCAGTAATCTTGCCGACGGAGCCACCGGGAGCTAATGATCCGCGGAGGATCTGGAGGTGACCGGAAGGCTTAATAGGGTTGCTTAGGGGACGGATAATCGGCTGTTTGGGATCAAAATCAGGCCACGAGGTGACGTTCTCCTTCATCGTCTTGCCCGTGACCGTGGTGCCGGAACCGTCAATCAGACCCTCTTTAAGGAGGAACTTCAGCAGCGCTGGTGTGCCACCGGCCTTGTACAGGTCGTGCATGACGTACTTTCCAGACGGCTTCAGATCGGCCAGGAACGGCGTCTTGTCTGACACAGCCTGGAAATCATCAATGGTCAGCTTGATGCCGACGGCATCGGCGACGGCAATCAAGTGCAGCACAGCGTTGGTACTACCACCCAAGATAGTGACCACGATCATGGCGTTCTCGAACGCTTGCCGCGTCATGATGTCCTTGGGCCGGATGTCTTCCTTGAGCAGGTTCTTGATCACCTCGCCAATGTTCTCGCACTCCTGCACCTTCTTGGGGTCCACCGCCGGCGTGCTGCTGCTTCCAGGAACTGTCATACCGAGCGTCTCGATCGCAGTGGCCATCGTGTTCGCCGTGTACATACCACCGCAGGCACCGCTGCCGGGGCACGCGTTGCGGATGATATCAAAACGCTGCTTCTCGTCGATCTGGCCTGTGATGTACTGGCCGTATGACTGGAACGCGCTGACCAGGTCGAGAGGCTGGCCGCTGGCGCTGCAGCCAGGCTTGATACTGCCGCCGTAGACCATGATACTAGGACGGTTGACGCGGCCCATGGCCATGAGGACGCCGGGCATGTTCTTGTCGCAGCCGGGCAGCGAGATGTTGGCGTCATACCACTGGCCGTTCATGACCGTCTCAATGCCATCGGCAATGATCTCACGGCTCTGCAGACTGTAGCGCATGCCACTCGTGCCCATGCTGATACCATCCGACACGCCAATCGAGTTGAAGCGCATGGGCACCAGGCCGGCCCTGTCCACCGACTCGCGCACCACCGCCGACAGGTCGATCAGGTGTTTGTTGCACGGGTTGCCCTCGAACCACACGGACGAGATGCCGACCTGCGGCTTGGCCATGTCCTCTTCTTTCAGGCCAGTCGCGTATAGCATGGCTTGCGAGGCGCCCTGCGACTTGGGCTGCGTGATCTTGGAGGAGACCTTGTTGAGCTGCTCGTCGGCATGGCGGCGGGGCGTCGAGGACAGGAAACGGCTGGAGAGAAGAGAAGAGTCAGCTTCACGGCCCGTAGGCAAGAGTGTGGTTGTTGTCTACTGACGTAGAGGCCTGGCTCAGCTTCAATGGCGCCAATCGGCTGGAGGCCATAGCTCCGGGAGCTCTGGCGCGGAGGGCAGGCACAAGCATGATGGACGAGTAGCAGAATGGCAATGCGAACAGCGGCAGGCCTCCCGACATATTAAATGGAACGCAGCGGCGGTCGCGGCCGGCAGAACGTCAGCAGGGTCGGGATTCCTGCCACCAGAACCCACCCGCAGCATGTGTTGTTTCACCGTTTCGGAGCCTCGGATTGGGGGCGAAGCGCGCGCTAGCCGTAAAACCGGCAACGCGTAGCGTGATTAATTAATCCCGTCAACCATTATTGTGAGTCAATTGGTCTTCTCCATAACACCACTTATCACCGGGCGCGCGAAGTCGGCGGTCAAATTTTTGGCTAGACCGGGGTGTTGATCCTTTAAGTGGGGCCCCCGCAATGCGCACCGCCTCCCGCTCGCGTCGGTTGTTGCGTTGCAATTGCGACCTTTTTGATTGGCTTTTGCCATTGTCCTTGCGTATGCAACAAGCTTTGTGCGGGAAGATCAGGGTGTTGAGCTTGAGCTTGACCGTGGGCCGTAATCCGACCAAAGACGCCTTCTCTATTGGACTTTCAAACGCCGCCTCCTTCCTCCTCAGCTCAACAAGGCCTTGAAAGAATGCCTTTCTGATACATAAGGCTCCAGCGCTATCTCTCCAAAGCATGCTTCAAGGCCATTTATCGATCCACATGACTAGGTTTCCGCGGAACTTGTCACGTCACACTGAAAGCCTTACGATGTTCAAGTCCATCTCAATCGCCTCGAAAAGAAACTCAGTCTATAACATCTATCGCGCTCAATGAGTCATATTCTACTTTTACAGAAATAGCTCTCGGATGAGTCATGACTAGATATGAGGCCAGACTCAAGATGGGCACAACTTAGTCCACGCTACCCTTCTTCCTCTTGATCCTGATCCTAGCCCCAGGGGGCGGCGCAAAAGCCTCAGCCACCCACTTGTTAGGCGGACGTTGTCCGTCATACTCCTTCGGAAACTCCACCTCGTAGTTCGCAAGAACATACGAAATAATCATCTTCACCTCGAAGTCGACCAGGAACCGTCCGGGGCAGGAATGGTTGCCATGCCCAAACGGCAGGTGCTGAGGCGAAGTCGACACGAAACTCATATTGCCCAGTCCGGGCCTGCCATTGGCATCGGCTGCCGCCTCTCGGGCGCGAGAAAACCGGAAGGGATCATATCGGAAAGGGTTGTCGTAGTTCTCGGGGTCATATTGAAGAGGGTAGCCCAGGAACGAGATGAATGATCCCTTGGGGAGTTTGATACCTTCCTCAGTCACGACGCCATCAACCATGACCTTCCGGAAGATCCCACGGTTGCTGTATGAGTTCAGACGTAGAGTCTCGCGCGCCACACTGTCGGCCTTGACCATCTGTGCGACCTTGTACTTGGTCCACTCGCCGCGGCCATCGGCTCCGATGACGCGGGTTACCTCGTCTCGGAGGACCGACATGGTGTTGAATTCGGCATTGGAGCCCATGATGTTGAGCAGCATGTTCGTCACAAGGATGCTCGTCTGGTGCACGGCTGCGAAGTTGGCGAAACAGAGGCGTTTCGTCATGATATCAAAGTCGTATAGCTCGTCGGGTCGCTCCTTCTGGGCATAACGAAGCATCATTTGCAGAAGATCCCTGGGCTCTTGGCTTTCTTGGTCTTTTCCATTGCTGCGACCCAAATCTCGAAGTCTCTGGCGGTAGATCGGTTCAAAATGCCTTTTGATCTTCTCGATCTGGCGGCGGAGGTTCCAGCTGAAGATTGGACCAACCAACGGGCGTAGTGGTTGAGGGCTTGCGCCTGTCAAGCCGCCGTTTATTACTATTCCATCGACAACTTTCCAGCAGTCCGACAGATATTCTTCATTTCGACCTAGCAAACGCGTTCCATTAGCTTTAGTCTAATACACATCACCTGGTATACAGAACTTACAGAGAGGAAGACCGACAGTAAAGCGACTGGCAGCCTGCGCCACGACCATTCTGATGGTCGCAAACAGGTCAATCTCCTTCCATGACTCTACATCACTGCCAAGAAACCTGTCGAAAGCGTGCGCCAATTCATCATTCAGCTCAGCGCAGACATTCTCCAACATCGAGTTGATCTCCGTTTTAACAAGCATGCCCGGCCAGGGATCCTGCTTATATCTCTCGTGGCCCAACCCGTACTTGAGCTGGACGACTTCGAGAACAGCGTCCGCGTGGCTGAGTTCGTTCTCAGGGCGCGAAAGAACCCACCGCATGGCACTTTGAGGCATGATGATGTCGTCGCGGAACCCAAGGCCTGGGAGCAGCACCGACTTGCCATTTTTAATGAACTAGATTGTTGGAATCAGTCAGTAATGCCGTTGACACAGCCAGACTTTGCGACACAGGTTTACGTACCTTGTCGTATGCTTCCTTGTACAGGGCAGCACAGTCGGAGTAGTATCTCAGCCGCGTACGTAGACTGAAACGCCTTTTGCCAGCTGGTTCTCCGATCAATGGTAGATTTGCTGGATACCTGATGGCGAAGAACGTTTGGTAGACTATGACGACCGAAACAAGAACGGCGGATATAAACACCAGGTTCTCGTAACCCTCCAATGGTGGGAGGAGAGTCGCGAGGAATGCCATCTCGCAGAACGTAATGAACTCAAAGGTAAAGAAAATCTTGCTGTCTAACGCATGCCTAACGGGTTGATGAAGGTATTGCAGAATTTATGTGAACATTCCATCAATACCTTCCGCGCTCATTTACTCCGTCATGTAGGCTGCAAAATGGGGCAGCTACTACATTTTTGCACCATGCCGTAGATTGGAGGTAAGCACTATCTAGCGCGGGGGCGGTTTTCTAGGAAGTGACGACTGGTGGTCGTGACTCGCAAGCTACATACCCCACCTCAGGAACTGACATTGATTACGCGAGTTCGGTGAGTAGAAGTGGTATGGAGCTGCTGTGGGTCGAAGGATGATGGACCTCGCACCCTGTCACAATGCGCGCTCCTGAGGGCAACGGATTAAAACGCGTCTGTCTCTTGAGACAGGATGTCCCTGTACGTGTGGGGAGCCTGAATGTGCAAGAAAGCATTAGGCGATTTGCCGGTGCCTAAAGATAGGTAAGTGTTGTAACCAGATGATATTCACCTATACAGATCAATACAGGGAAACGCGATTGACGCAATAGGGACTATACTAAATTTAAAGATATGTTTATGATTAGGTCTTCTTGCCCTTAGAACGAGAGTAAATTTAGGCATCGTCACCAAAAGGGAAGCCACGTCAGAGTTCATGATTAACCCGCTTTCACATGCAATTCGGTTCACTGCCACCTCGCTACGAGACAGTGATGCATGATGATGGATTCCACGGGACGGGAATGTCCTTGACCACCAGTTCTGGCCAAGCACGGAAATAGGGGCGACATGCTAGATGTGAGCCGCTGTGGGGTGAAGGATGCGGTTGCCTCGAGCTGTACATACCCCTACCGGCAAGAATCGACGTTGACCCCAGAGGACCATTTTCCCAATCTGTGTTAGTGCCGACGCGGCCCGCCAGCCTACCGGCCGCCCACCCGCCACCACGGCTAGCGGCACTTTACGGGCCAAGATCGACACACGACAAGAGATCTGTGCGATCGCATTTCAGGCCGACAACGGTCATCGCCTTCGCTCCAGCTTTGTGTCGCTGACACGACGCGGCCAATCGCAAATTAACACCACCAGTCGCAGACTCGCAACGAACCCGATCTGCCGTCAGAAGCTTACATACCATACATACTGGGTATCGATCGACACGCGGCTTAGCATTCTGGAAGGATGAGACATCTCGTTCAAACCCGAGTTCCGAGGAGTTATTAGGGCCGTTGTCTGTGATTGGGGCGTGTGGGACTTACGAAGGTGAGACACAGCGCTGTAAAGTCCGTCACCGTGAAGCGAGACGAGAAATGATATAAGCAGTCCCCACGGAATACTCTTTGCCTAGCTGCAAGCCGAAGTCCTGGATATGGCTGAAAGGTTCTTAGAGTACACACGTCTACAAGTATTTTGACTGGATTTCTTTTCCCACTCCGCACAAGCATTATTACCTCGCAAGGCGATGAAATTCCCTTGATGGTGACGGACGTTAGCTACTCAGAAGAAGAAGAAAAAGAAACTGCTTTGTAACGTAAGACGGGACATTCACTTTTAGAGTAAGGTGAGCCGAAGTCTGCACTGCAACCTATAAGAAAAACTGAGTTGAGGAATCTACGAAGTATGTATCATATCTCGGAACAAGGAAAACGGGAAAAGTCTATCAAGAGCCAGCTGACCAATTGTGACTGAAGGGCCTTAGTATCCATTCACTTGAAGTTCGGTAACCTGAAAACCCATTTTGAACGCGTTCAGCTTAGAGCTGGTGGCCTGGATCATGGAGCCATGGAGTTGGGTCCCATCCGATCCGTTCAATTTGTGGCCCTTCGGCGGCAAAACCCATTCATTCAAGTTCACCCAACCCACATCCAAAGCCTTTTCGAAATACTGGCGGAACTTCGCCCCCACAGGGCCATTGCCAGCGTTGTCGTAGATCTCGCGCAGACGGTACCTCAGCTCGCAGAAATGCCATGTAACGTAGCCATGGATGAAAGCACGAACGGTAGCCAGAACCTTCGGGTCCTTCTCCTTGAAGATGTCCAAGATGCGGACGCAAGCCTGGATGGTGTCATCAGTCAGGCGGTCCAAGGCGTGCTCTATGCTTATGCCGTCGACGGTGCACCAGTTCGAGACAAGGTTGGCCTCGTCGAGATCGAATTCCTTGTAGAAAGAAAAGAGGTCGTTGACGAAGGCGACCGGGCCGTCGATCTGAGCCATGATGCACGCAAGCTCCTTGAAGAGGTGCTGGTCGTCGAACTCCGCGGCCGGGAAAATGGTGCCGGCGACTGCGCCACCCAGGCAGTTCAGGCGGCGTAGGAAGAGAGGGTAGTTGTCGGAGCCAGGGTAGCCCTGGAAGTTGTGCTGCTCGATCCAGCAGCCCTCGAAGTAGTCGAAGGTGCAGCGCATGATGTTGAAGGAGCAGAAGGAGCCGTAGTGGCTGAGCAAGCGGGGCAGGTGCTCGCTCATCAGGACCCAGAAAGGATGCTTCTGTTGTTTGCCCTGAAACAAGTCGCCCCAGAAGGAGCTCATCACCGTGTTGGGATCAGTGTTGATCTCATCGTCGAGGACGTTGATGATGGCCAGGAAGATGCTGATGTCGACCTGGACATCCTTGGGGACTTTGGACCAGCAGTACACGACGAAATGTGGGATCGTTCGTGATACCGCGGTAATCCTGGCGGGATTGACACCCTTCAGAGTCTCCCGCGGCAGTGGCTGGTTGAAGTATGCCACCGTTCTGGAGTGCACGTATCGAAGTCCCTCAACACGCTCAGCATGGGTCAGGTTGTCGTCCTCGTACTCGAGAGCATCGAGGAATCGCACCATGGAGCGGCAGAACTGGTCCGTCGGGAAGTTGGGAGTGGTCATGGTGGGTATATTGAGAACAGTAAAGAGATGGAGATGAACAAGAAAGAAGTGCTGATAGACAAGAGGGCATAGCTACGAGAGCCCTTTAAGTACTTTGAGCTCCAGAGATGTACCCAGCTGTCTTTGCGGCCTCCAAACTGATCGCCAGGTCTTCTGTCCCAGGCTACCTTCACTGTTGCATTGACTAGAATGTCGGTTCAGGACACCGAAGGGCCTGGCTCGAATCAACGCCCCTCATGATAGCAAGGCGCACAATGAACCCTTGGCTCTCGGAGCCAAAAAGAAGGCCCCCCCCATAGCCCCCTCAATCCACTGTCAAAACTAGGTAATTTGCGGAGAATCCAACCGAAGGCAAAGGAAAAGTGATGGAGATAATCTAATCAGCGTTAGACAAGCAATGATCCCGAAGGCATCAACTCAATACGACCGACAGGATTCGTGGGGCAGTGTCCTGGGCATGAACCTCATTTCCGTGATAGTAGATGCTCCACTTGCTGGTACAGTCGCATACGATCTTTTATGTTTAGTAGGTGGTCTAGACACTGGGTTCACTTATGCTTGATTGGCCAATAAATTCTGAGCTGACTAGAGGTAAACGTAAGCTAAGCCAAGCTTACGCCTCTTGACACAAGCTTTAGACCCACATATGCAGGGTGGGTTGTGGATGGTTTCGGCAAAGCGGGAATTACGTAGAGTCAGGCACGCACTCCTTGGAGCAGACAGGGTCGGAAAAGCAAACAGGGTCTAAGTGCAGCGGAGATGCACTACTGTGGTCAGGGTGAGAATCCTTCATTCGCGTCCTTTAGGCGAGTAACGGTTGGGGGCGGATATGGTCTGTGCTAATTCTGGGGAATTGCTTCTTTTGGAAACCGCTTACACCATCCCCTCATGTCCGACACCCGGGTTCTAGGGGCAACCAGATCTCGGAAACAGCGATAAGCAGGGACAATAGCGGTTTGGCCAATAGGAAATATTCCCTGAACAACATCTTACCCACGGCAAGGGTTCCACCTCTACCAGCGAATAGACAGGGTATTGTATGGACATGGGGGTCTTTTTTGTTTGTTTGTTGCCCAACCGGGCCCTCCCACTGCGGGGCATAAGTAGTACAGGATTGTGGTGAGACACTGTGGGCCATAATCTATAGTAGGAGCGGGAAGCCTGGCCTCGCCGCTTAAGACGGGTGGGGGAAGTCAGCTTTGTTGCGTGGACCATGACGGGCTGTGTTATCGGTATACCGGTGAGGCATTTGTTTGGCCGTGGAGGATTGGGACTCTTCTGCCTTGCGGCACGCCGGGAAGACGGAAGTGACAGACAGCTTATAGGTGAGCTCATATCATAGTAGCTGAAGACTGACATTCACTGAAGAGAACCTCCCCCCCCCCTTTCGTCCGTTTTCTCTTGAATTGTCTCTGTTTCACAGTTGAGCGGATTTGTTTCATTTTTCACAGTGCAAAGATGCTCGGCCTCGCTTTGGGGGAAGACGCTTCAACTCTCTCTGCCATTGGCTCGGGTCTTTTGGCTTTGACAGCATGTTTTGTTGTTCGATGCGTTTACGACCTCTTCTTTCATCCGTTACGGAGATTTCCTGGACCAAAGCTGGCAGCTGTTGGGTCCTTTTATGAGTTTTACTATGATGTTATCAAAGATGGCACTTATCTCTGGGAAATAGAGAAGATGCATCAGAAATATGGTAAGATGCTATGTTTGTGTTTCTTTGACATTCGTCCACAAGACTGACCAATCATTCAAGGTCCTATTGTTCGCATCAATTCCAAGTCACTACACATACACGATCCCGAGTACTATTCCACAGTCTATGCTGGAGGCAGCCGGCGTACCAACAAAGAGCCTTCAGCCGTCTCAGGATATACTTTCCCGCATTCTACCATCGCCACGATCGAGCATGACCTCCACCGCAAGCGTCGAGCCATTATAAATCCATACTTTTCGAAGCGGGCAATTGTCGGTCTTGAGCCGTTCATTCACGAGAGGCTCGATTCACTGTGCGCACGTCTCAAAGAGTCAATGGCTCAAGAAACGGTTGTCGACCTGACGTCTGCCTTCTCGGCATTCACAGCCGACCTCGTCACCTACCACTTCTACGGGTCGCATTCAGATTACGTGAACAGCAAGGACTTCAAGTACGGTCTGAAAGACGCCCTCACAGCTTTGCTTGACTTCTACCACATAACGCGGTTCCTGCCCATCCCCGCAACCACGTTCAAACGCCTTCCGTTCCCCATCCTCCGCCTGATCAACCCCAACTTCTGCCTCGTCATTGCAGCCCGCAATGCCAACAAGGAAAGAATCCTGAAAACCATCAATACCGAGCGCGAGTCCAAGGCCGCAGAATCCAAGTCCAAGACCAAATCTGTCATTGTCAGTGCTCTGGCAGACCCCAGCATCCCCGCCGAGGAGAAGAAGATCGACCGCTTAGCGGACGAGGGCGAAACTATTATTTTTGCTGGAATTGATACCACTGCAAGGACGCTCGCCGTTTGCTTGTTCCATCTGCTGAACAACAAGACGCACCTGCAGAAATTACGAGAGGAGCTCAAGGCACAGGGCAAGCCGGCCGGCCATGAGTGGACCACCGCTGAGCTTGAAGCAGTGCCGTTTATGGTAAGATACTTGCATTCACTTACGCGGTGATTGAGTTAATCGCTGACATGACACAGAGAGGCGTTGTCCAGGAATCGATTCGACTCTCTTACGGCCTGGTCGTGCGCATCCCGAGAACAGCAGCCGATGAGGCTCTCCAGTACAAAGATTTCACGATCCCGCCTGGTGTAAGTGAAATACATCGACGAGCTTTTTTCGTCTTGCTAACTCGACATAGACCCCCATCAGCCAGTCAACCTACCTCATCAACAACGATGCGTCCATCTTCCCGAACCCTTCGCAGTTTGACCCCGATCGTTGGGTTAGAGCTGCAGAAGAAGGCTTCAATCTCGACAAGTACATGGTCAGCTTCACGAAAGGAAGCAGGGCCTGTCTTGGTATAAAGTACGAACACCTTTTTTCTAGCACCGTCAAAAGACCCATTTCCTATTTCCTTTTCATTTATCCAATGCCCCTACATCACAGAACTGTAGCTGACCTTATCTCAGTCTGGCATACTCCACGCTGTACATCGGCATCGCGAGAATCGCGACTAGCCTCGATATGGACCTGTTTGAAACAAGAAAGCAGGATATCGAAGTGTACCATACACGAGGCTTTGCGTTTCCTAAGGAAGGCTCCGGCGCTGTCAGGGCTAGAGTTACGGGTGTACCTGCATGAATTTTCACTGAAGAGGTTGAACAACACGGCTTCGCCGTCATTCTACGCGCGCATTCGACTATTTCCAACCGTTTGTCCATCGTCCAGATGAGGAGCGGTTCTACTAAAACAAAATAGAGGCTCCTATCACTACAAAGCACAGTTTCATGGAGATTAGATAAACTCCCTAACTTAATACATGCACGCCGACCAATCTTGCTTAACAGTTTATCTATCTATCACCAGCACAACTGACCACCAAAAGTCACCACAAAGCGCGTCTATTCCAACGTTTCTTTATTATTAGTAGTAATAACCATCACCACCTTGAGGAAATCCTCAAAACTACAATAGCAATCAATCATCCCCAAAATCGCGAAAAGCATAAACAAACTTTGCTTTGTTGTTCGTTTATTATCAACAATCAAGAAAATAGAGGACAAGAGAGGGAAAAAGCAAAAAGAAAGGGTCTTACCGCGACTCGAACGCGGGGCCTCTCGCAAGTTATTAACTCAGGGTGAACCCTAAGCGAGAATCATACCACTAGACCATAAGACCTTTGATCGTCCAACTTGAAGCTGGAACTTGAAAGTTGATTTGTTTGCACAACTTATATACATGCAAATATGAGGCTGATAATCATCGCGATATAATGTTAATGGTCACCCGAGCTGCATCATACCACGTACATGGTATTCAACAACCTCATCAACGCGCTTCTCTGAAACGGCGTTGGCGGTACAAAAATAGCTGCATCAGCGCTTCAACCGAGCAGTTTGTACTTTGTAGAGTAGGTTAGTCCCAGACGCAGAAGTCTCCTAGGCACAAGCCTACCTACATAGGTAGCAGAACGCAACAACAACAACAGCCGAGCAGCTCCAATGCCACCGCGGGCAGCGAAGTCACCGCCAGCCTACCTAGTTAGTGCCCACAGGCCACCCAGCACCCGCAAGGAAAGCACGCAACGCAAGCAGCAGCGGAAAACCGCGGCCCAGCGTGGGCGCATGCAGGTGCACGCCCGTCAGGCCGCCTGCGCAAGCACAGACACCGACACGAGCGCGCCTTCTCAAAAAGCAATGCTCGCTACATAAGTCCATGACGCGAGCGACCGGTTCTTCGGCCACGTGATCAAGTTCATGGCGGTGGTCGGACTGCGAGAGAACGAGCTTGAGCAGTATCGCGATGTCGGAAGTGCAGCTGTAAGACATCCATTGTCAGTAACGATGATCGTTGTTAGCAAGGGATGGTGATGCTTACCGTAAGTGCATGTCACCATAAGTGCATGTCGCTGCCGACAGGCAGGCGCAAGTAAGTCGAGGAGCCTCCCGCAAGCGCATCTGACTGGGCCCGGCGTTCCATGTCGTACGTAGATGATAAGGGTTGTAAGCCCTCAACGCCTGCACGAAGTAGGTATCGAGCAGGATTTCCACGACCATCGGGCAAAGGTTCAGGAAGGTCCTAGCAAGGAAATCCTCATACCCAGTAACCACCGCGCACCCAGACGACCGTCATCAGATATTATACGTAGTAGATGCCGGCGCGCCCCCTATTTCACTGCAACCTCAATTTCAACCTTACAACACGCCAGGGCCAGGGACAAAAACAACCCCGCATAACAGTGCCACGCTCGTCAGGTACGCATACCGGGCGAAGCATGCAAAATGTAACTGTAACTGCAACTGCAACTGTGACTTGTGAAAACTTCGGCCTTGGCCGCGACAATAAACAGACAACCTAATGCGGAACCGGATACAGCGCCTGGTTTTCATCATGTCCCGACCGACCAACCGACCAACCGACCAACCAACCAACAACCGATTGACTGAGGAAGAGTGACAGCTAGGAACAATGACAGAGTAGAACGCGGGAAAAAACCAATGGCAGATATCTGAAGCGAAGCGAAGCGACAACGAATAAAAAGTAACGAAGCGGATATGTCCTGACCTGACCTGTCCCGACTGACTGGCCTCCTCTTTCTCTTTCCCCTTCTCTTCCTCTAATAACCCCCCACACGCCGCGCAAGTAACAGCACACCTAACCCGCAATACCCAAGCCCACTCTGCCGCCCTCCTCGCCACCCCTCCCCATCTCCCTGATCCTCCTCCCCTCCATCAGCCCCCTCAACCCCCGCTTCTGCAGCCCCACAACCGCACTCACTTCACCACCCCAAACCTCCCTATCGCCACCCATACCCGTCGCCGAGCCCAACTCGCTACTCGACGTCTCGGTGCTGGCACTGCTCATCTGGTCGTCATCCCTGTTCCCATTACCCGCAAGATCCGTGTTGACGCGCAAGCTCTTCAAGCCCTCATCCATCGCCGACAGCATCGAAGGATCCGGCCCCATGCCCGGCAACCCCGCCACGCTCCCGCTGCGGCTCATCCCGCCCATGGCGTTCAGGCCCAGCGCCGATGACGCCAGGCTCGTGCTACTGCTACTCGGCACAATACCAGCCGTGCTCTGCTTGCGCCCCACAGGGCCCGATTGCTGCAGGTGCAGCGCGTTGAGCGAGCCGGGCGCGCCGTCGCGCTCCGCCCCCGGCAGGCCTGCCGTCTGCCCGTTGAAGAACGTGATTGCGTCGCCGCCGCCCGCGGCCATTGCCGCGGCGTTGAAGATGGCGGCCGTGTTGCGTCCGTCGAGGAGCATGTGCAGCCGCTCGATGACGGCTTCCAGGAGGCCGTTCACGCGGTAGGGCCGTGCGAGCTGCAGGAGCGAGCACAGGATCTGCGGCGTGCAGAGCGTGGAGTTCGGGGCTGGTAGCGTCGACGTGTAGAGGTAGTGCGCTAGTGCTTGCAGTGTCAGGTGCGTGTGCGGTAGATACAAAGTGCGCGGTCGCGAGGTGGGAGTGGGCGAGTTGGCGTCCGGCGGGTCGAAGGGTGTGACCGTTGCTGCTGTGCTGGCATTGCTGGGAGTGGCAGTATACGTGGTGCGGATCGACGGCGTGATGGTGATGCTAGAATTCCTGCTTGGGTGTGACGAGAACGGACGCAGAGTCGCCGCGTCCGAGTTGCCTTCAGCACCCCACGTTCCATCTCTCAAAAGCTGGTTAAAGTACGGCCCCCAGCGCCGCGCCACAAGATGAGAATTTACGGGAATCCTTTCTCCGCCTACGGCCAGGAATTCCATGTCTGCCATCTCCCGGAGATTTAGCGCCATTTGACCCAGCTCTTCTGCTGCCGAACCAAAGTGTCGGCCTCCTGCGGTGGACAAGTCTGCCTGGTTCTGCTGGAGGGCAGAGCTGACGGAAATGTAGCCGGAAGTCGGTGCCGTGCGTCGAGGGTTATCGTACAGGCCAAAAGCCTCAAGCTCGACCATGCAAATGTTTGAGAAGTTGATGCGGCGATGATTGTAGTCTTCCACCAAGCTTCTCTTTCTGTTTCCGAGAATCACGAATGTGTTGCGCCTGCCCCAAAGAACACCGCGGTTCCAGCTTCCTTGGCTGAAAATGCTTCCGCCAGCGTCGATGCGGCTCCAGGTGAGGTTGCGCAAGTCAAGCGCCCACAGTGCGTATTCCTGTTTCGAAGACGTCAAGAAAGTACCACTTACGACAAAGTGATTGGCTATGATGCCGCCATTGGGGAAGCGCAGTCCAGGTGGCGTGAACGTGCCACCCATCGGCTTCTCTGTCAGCGTGCCGTCCGGTAACCGAACCTGCAGTTCCAGCTTGACGTCCAGGAAGTTGTAGTTTGAATAAATCAACATGGATGATCCCTTGCTGGCGCTTTCCGGGTCCTGCTCATCTGCTCCGGGATCATCTTTGCTTCCACCTGCTCCTATTTGCGAGGCAGGCATCGAGGTCAATGGAGCAATCACGCTGCGATATGCGCCGCAGCTCCTGCCCAGAGAGTTGGTGGCCGTCCATTTGAGGCTCCTGAGATTGAACACGCTGACCTGTTCAATGTAGTGGTTTGCACTATCTTGTCCACCAACAACCACCATTTCTGCGCCGCCGGCGCCGTCCAGTGAGACACCTATCGATCCTTGGTTAGGCTGGTGCGCAGATGCAGGGTTGTGGTGAATGGCGGAATGCGTCGCGTTTGCCGAGGAAAAAACGGCCGATGATGGTAGAATTGCTGCGCAGTGTGCGTAACGACCTTGTGGAGAGTCGGGCGTGGGAACATTCATCCAAATCCGGGTGTTTACATCGAAAATGTGGATATCAGACATTACGACGACCTCGGGCTGCGGATCTTGAGGGTTGACCTGTTGGTTCGGCGCTGCCGGTTGGCCGTTTGGCAATATCGCAGGAGACATGCCACCGTAGCATACGAGCTTAGTGTCGCCCAATGCGCAGACGCTGTGGAAATAACGGGGTGGAGGAACATCGCCCTTCATGTCCAATTTGGTCCAGTGCCGGCTAACGAGATCCAGCTCATAAAGATCGTTGGTAAGTTGAGGACGGGTCCGGGATAAGCGCCGTCCTCCGAAAACGTAGAGTTTGTCGCCAAGGATGGTGGTGGTTGCTCCTACTAATGGATGGGGTTCCCGGCCTGTGGTCCGGTGTACATTACATACTAGGCCTGAGAGGCCGGAAGTGGATTGCGCTGCTGGCGTGCCTAAGCCTGCAGTCGTTGGTTGCGAGATTGAAGGCGTCGTGATGGAGGTTGCGGGTGTGCGCACCGTGCCGGCGCTGGTAGGTGCATCATCATGTTCGCGCCCCATCCTAGACAAGCTGGTGCTGCTGCTGTTGACGCTCCTGGAGATGGACGGATTCCTGAAAGAGTCTGAGTAGAGTTGCGAGGGTGAGGGCGCAGAGGTGTTGGAGTCCATGGTGTTGGCGCGGCTAGTGTTGGGCGTCTGTCTAGACGACATGATGATAGGGGAGGCGGTAGCGCGTGGCGAGTGCGGAGCAAGAGAGTCGGTAGGGGTCCGTACGGGGGAGTCGGGAAAAGTCTGAACCGGTTGCGCCCAAGATGGAATGACTATGGCGACATGCCTCGGCTTGGAAGCAGAGTCGACGGAGGTTTTGCGACTGGCTGGCAAGGGGAACTCTGCGACGCTGGGACAGGCGCTGGTCGGAGTCCGGGAGGGGCTGTCGTGGGAGTAGCACGGGCTGTCGGGCAGTACTATGGGCACATAACGCGGAATCACTATGGGAATGTGCTTCGGGCGCGACTTTGACGAGTGGTCAGGCTGAGGCCTGGCTGAGGTCGGCGAGGGGCCCGCTGAGGCCGATGGATAGCCGAGAAGGCCTAGCGGATTCATCGTCAGCGCGAAGATCGACGTCTGAGCTCAGGGTCCAAAAGTCGACAATAGGGAGGGAAAAAACGCGAATGCTCTGTTGTTGTTGTTGTTGCTGCATCTTCACGCCTTTTTGATCGCTGCCAGCTCTCTCTGCAGTGAACTCGGTCTCGGCCAGCAGCGTCAACCCAACAGCCAACCGCCAGGGGCCCGCCGCGATTGTACGACTGCGAGACTCATGTGTCTTTGTGCATGGCGCATACGAGCTGGGGGGCGTGTGGGCTGCATGGAACACAGGGAGAGCACCTTACCTTAGGGGGGGAGGGCGGCGCCGTCGTCGTCGGGGGCGGGGTGGCGGGGGCGCGCGCAGCAACTGGGGCAGACAAAGGCAGACAGGTCGCTTCGGTGGGTTCTTCCCGTGGGCTGAGAGGGGTATGCCAGGTGTGGACAGTCGACGGGAAGCACGGGAGGTTCGCGGCAGGCCGGCGATGGGGCTTGGAAGTGTGGTTGAGCAGCTCCCTGCAAGGCTAGCCGAGAGCCGCCGCGAGGGTCAAATGCAAGGGGCGGCCGGGCCAACAATGGGCGACCTCACCGCCGCTTGCAGCGCCGTTCATTCATCATGCATTGCTTCCGCGGCACAGCCACACCTTGTCACTTCATCAATCATCTATTGTCGTGCATTTGCTTTTCTTTCATTCAATTCATTGGGTATATCGTGGGGCGCCCGCTTGTCTCGCCGGCCCGCTGCCCGCCGGCAATTTCCCTCATCTAGCCAGCCTTATGCCGCCATCCGCGCGACCTGTTTGTTTGCCTTGCGCGCGCGCGTTTACTGAGTGTTGGCACTCGTCTGCTCCTTGGGCAGGGGAGTGAAACGCAGGTACGGCTTGACGATGCGCAGGTTGGGGTAGATCTTCTGCGCATCCTCCGTCTTGACCGTGGGGTGGACGATGACGTCGTCCCCGGGCACCCAGTTGATGGGCGTCGTCACCTTGTTCTTGTCGCCGGTCTGGAGCGAGTCGACAATGCGAAGCACCTCGGCCGTGTTGCGACCGGTCGAGGCAGGGTAGGAGAGGATGGTGCGGATCGTCTTCTTGGGGTCGATGATGAAGACGGAGCGGATGGTGAAGGCGATGCCCTTCTCGTCCACGTTGGTGACATCCTGGTGGTCCAGCCTACAGCTGTTAGCGGGGAAAGCGAGGGCTGGAAGGCGGCAACTTACATGTCGTAGGCGTAGGCGACCTTGCGCTCCTTGTCGCCAATGATGGGGAACTTCAGGTTGCTACCCGAAACCTCATCAATGTCCTTGATCCAGCCACCGTGCGAGTCGACCGTGTTGGCGGACAAGCCAATGAGCTTGACGCCACGCTTGGTGAACTCAGGCTCGAGCTTGGCGAAGGCGCCGAGCTCGGTGGTGCAGACGGGAGTGTAGTCCTCGGGGTGAGAGAAGAGGATGACCCATTTGTCGCCAATGAAGTCGTGGAAGTCAATGGGGCCGGTTGTGGTGTCGGCCTTGAAGTTGGGGGCAGTGCTGCCGAGACGGAGGGGCTCTGGGCGCTGTTCGGTGGACATTTTGGCTGGTTGGATGTGTATGGAGGTTTGGATTGGAGAGAGAGAGAGTAGGTATGTATTGTGGTGGGAAGTTGTGGGAGTGAGATGGCGGGGTTATTTGTATGAGCGGGGAATGCGGCGGCGGGGCAATGGTTCTTGTGGTATGATGCTAAATTCGTCTTAGTCAGGCTGTATATTGGGATTGGTGCTTATGACGTGCTCGTTATCCCCCACCATGGCGAGCTGCGAGCCCAATCATCTTGACACCATGCTGACGCTAACACGCCCGCCCTGTGCCGCACCTATCCGTAACGCGTAGCTTATGAATTCGCCATCCGCTTGGTTGCTGGCGAGCGCGAAGGATTGCCAAGCTGGCCTGTGGAAGCGTCGACTATTTTGCTCTGCAGCCAGCTCTCGCATCGTCGTCCTGGACATGCCCGCCATCTCCTCCGGGTCAAAGGTAGGTAGAGAGCCATGGCAACATACCTAGGGCTACGGCGACGTGAAGTCAACTTAAACTGCGCTTCTGTTCCCCGGATCCGTTCCTGACCCCAACTACCGGTCACTGCTGTGTCCGAGACACTCCCGCCCACGCAGACCAGTCAAAGCCGCCAGATCTTCCCGGTCCTCGGTTATGCGCGCAGACTTCGCTGGTGTCGGGTCGACATGGTCAGCACGGCAACAAGGCGGTAGATCAACCGTCTACGCGGTTTGGATGGGAATAACTAATCCCTGTGCTTCCGCTAGCGGAGATGGCGGTGGGTCTGTTTTCGTCCCCTCTGTCGTTTTGCCTTTAACATGGTACCTATCTCGCCGTCTTCACCGTTTCTTACTTGCAGCCTTCTCTCCTTCCTGTCTCATCTTCTTTCAACCCAATTCCTGTCCATTGTCTCGCAGTGCCGCCTGGTGCTGGCGCAAACTTCCCCGCAATGGACGCCGAGATCGAGCTGCCCCGTTCGTCATCTTTCGTTATCGACTCCGGGAATGAGACGGAAATAAGACCCAACCCTCTTCGCCCCGCAGACGTGGAGAAGGACTTTGACAGAGCATCCGCACAGTCGAAATCCGACTCTGAGAGCGATAGCAACCCGATTGCCTACCACTATTTGACCTTCGAAACGGAACTGCCGCATCCTTCGACCCTCGACCCTCCGTGCGAAGGCGCGCCGGCCCCGCCAGAATGCCCGAACCTCAAGAAGTACCAGAACCCGTTCGAATGGTCCCACAAGCGCAAATCGATAATCCTCTGGCTCTCGTGTGCCGCTACAGCCATGACTGCTTTCACCGCCGGGTCGTATAGTCCGGGCGTTGGTCAGATGACGGACGCTTGGCACGTCAGCAATGTTGCAGCCCTGGTCGGCATCACGATCTTCACATGCGGCTTCGCGGTTGCGCCCATGGTTCTAGCGCCCTTCTCCGAGATCCAGGGACGCAAGCCGGTGTTCCTGACCTGCGGAATCCTCTTCGTCATCTGCCAGCTGTGCTGTGCCGTGACGCAGAGTTACGGCGGCATGTTGGCTGCGCGCTTCTTTGCCGGTGTCGGCGGCAGCACGTTTTCAACAATGGTAGGAGGAGTGGTTAGCGACATTTACCATGCGAAGGACCGCAACACGCCCATGGCCATGTTCAGTGGCGCGGCGCTACTAGGCACCGGCCTCGGGCCGCTTTGCTGCGGTTGGATCGCCGAGAGGACGACATGGCGCTGGATCTTCTACATGCAAACAATTTTGGATGGCGCGCTCATGGTCGTCGTGTGCATCTGCTTCCAAGAGACCCGCGGCAGCGTCCTGCTGAGCCGCAAGGCTGCCGCGCTGAACAAGTGGTACGAGGCGCGTGAACAGGCCGGCTACTTCAACCTCGACATGCCGCTGGAAACGGAGCTTCTCAAGAAGATTCCACAGAGAATCCGATGGAAAGTGAAAGCGGACGAAGAGCGGGCCAGTCTCAGCACCATGATCGGGATCTCGCTATACCGGCCCTTCCACCTCCTGCTAACCGAGCCTGTCGTCTTCTTCTTCTCGCTCTGGGTCGCCTTTAGCTGGGCAGTGCTGTACATGACGCTCGCGGCCATCCCGCTCGTCTTCGAGACGAACCACCACTTCTCGCTCGGGCAGGCCAACTCCATCTTCGCGTCCATGTCAATCTTCGCCGCGCTGGCGACGGTGCTGAGCATCGTGCAAGAGAAATGGGCGCGCGGCTCGGGCAGGCTGGGCAACACGCCCGAGGACCGGCTCTACTTTGCATGCGCCGAGAGCGCGCTCATGCCCATCGGGCTCTTCATGTTCGGCTGGACATGCGCGGGCCGCATCCACTGGATCGTACCTGCCATAGCGATCGGGCTCGCTACCGTAGGAATCTTCTCCATCTACCTCTGTAAGGTCCCCCACAACCCAACCCATTCACTCTTTGTTATCACCACCACCAGTACTAACGCCGCAAAAGCCGTGTTTAACTACTTGGCGGACTGCTACCACCGCTACGCCTCGTCCGCGCTCGCGGCCCAAAGCTTCTGCCGCAACATGCTCGGCGGCATCTTCCCGCTCATCACGGCGCGCATGTACAAGCAGCTGACGTTCGGCGGCGCGTCCAGCATGCTGGGCGGCATTGGCGCGCTGCTGACCATTGTGCCCTGGGTGCTGTGTTTTTACGGCCCTAAGATCCGCGCGCGCAGTAAGTTTGCTAACGAGATTATGGGATAGGTGGGTCGTGTGAGGACGAGGGAGATGAGAATGATGAAGACGATGTTTATGTTGCAAGTTGTTGTTATATACCCTGCTTGTCTGGTCGGATGAGTACAGTCGCGAAAAATACGTACGTGCATGTTATGTTGTATAGGTAGATGGAAATGCAGATATGATCACAAACACCTCTTATACGCGGCAGGTACTACTCACCTAAACGTCCGTCACCGTCAGTGGGATCCACCGCCTAATGAGACAAAAACGCTTACACGGAGACGAAATAAAACCCAATTAAGATATTCATAGTATACACACGCCCTAAGATGTCTCGCTCATAGCTAGACAAAGAACATTCTACAGGGACCAAACCCAACCCCTCCCCACCCGTCCCCGCAGGCAAACGACTCACTCCTTCCCCACCTGACCCAGCACACGCACAAGCAGCCGCAGCCCTATCATCCCGCCTCAAGCGCTTTGTCACGTCTTAACACCACCAACCCACTCACTCACCCACCCACCCAGCAAGTCGGTGCCGCAAACTACGCACTGCGAACTGCCTCCAAGACGCTGACCATTAGAGCCGACTCTCGCGTCGAATTTGCTGTTTCTTTCTTGGCTTGTGTCGGCGACGCTTGTGCAGGGAGTAGCCGGCTGGCCTTTCTTAGGTATAAATATCCTCCCTTTCACTCCACTCCACTCCACTCCATTCCACTCCCCGACCCTCGCAGCAGCAGCTCACAGGACCAGCCTACGAAAAAAGGTCACCAAGGGTGCAGTTCTTTTACATCCAATGCAGTGGTGCGTGTGTCTCTGTCCAACTCCAACAATCACTCCCATTTCCTTTTCGAATCACTGCCCTGCCCTTCCCTTCCCCGCACTACTAAACCCACACATCCACGACCCACCATCTTTCCTTCGTGAGGCGCAGCACACCTCCCCCACCGCGATGTCTATCACCGCCACTCGTTTGTAATGCCCACCACCACCTCTTCTCACCCTCCTCCCCTCTTCTCCCAAACTTGCCTGCCTTACGCACGACCGCTCACGCATTCACACATACGGGCACACGGGCAATGCCCATCTGTGTATTTCATTGGACCAGGTACAGGCCCCCAGTCCGAACCCGAGCTCTTGGGTTTGGCGTTGATGCTGGGGCTTGGATGGAGCTCGGAGAAAAGTGTGACGGGGGTCTTTTTATCCACTTACAACCCCCCACAAACCCCTGCCATCCTCCTCTTCTTCTTCCTCCTCCTCCTCCGCCTCCGCCTCCTCCTCAATCCCATCTACTTCAGCACTTCCCCTCCACGTTCTTAAACCCCAACTCTCACACCCCAAACAAACAAACAAAGCACGTCAGCACAACACGCACGACTCTTTGTTTTAATTTCAACTTGCCGTACGCCATGGCTTTGATGGCTGTCTTACGAATATTCGCGTTTGTGTTTGTGGGATGTTCGTGTTCTGATCCGTACATGTAGAGGATGAAAGCCGAATCTTGCTATTTAAGCTGCCTACAATAGACAAGCCGTCCCGCCACGATGATGAGCCGCGAGAGACATGTAAACAGCACAAGCACAGCACGCAGCGACGAAAGCCAAAAGGCCGTCCACAAACACGACCAGACGCAAGGCGTATATAAAATAGCAGGAGTAGATAACCCCGTCTCCATCTCATCGTTTCCTAACTACCTCACCTACGTACCTAGGACGTACCTACCTACCGCAGTAATCGCACGCCTACAAACTAAGCGGCCACTCCGTGCTCTCGATCCGCTCAGGATACTTCAGGCCGCCCTGCCGTCTCACCTCGTCCATAACCTCCATAATGACGACGCTCTCGCTCAAGTCCTCATAGCGGCCCTCCTTGCGGCCCTCGACCAGCGCCGTCGCCGCCTCGTCCGCCTCCCAGAACATGCCGTGGCCCTCGCCCTCCGGGTTCATCTCGCCCGCAAAGCCGTTGTACCAGCCGGAGCCCTTGCCGGGCCCGGGGTGCCGCCACTCCTTGTCCTCGACCGTGCCGTCGGTGAGGATGAGGCGCGTGCGCGTCGGCCGAAACAGCGGCGCAAACACCTGCAGCTCGCCCTTCTCGCCCGAAATCCGGCACGCCGGCCCCGCCGTGCCCTTCTTGTCCGGGTCCGTGGCGTTGCGCAGCCCCGTCGTCGCGACGGCATGTTTGGCGCCCTGCGCCGTCGGGAACGAGAGCAGTATCGTCGTGAGCTCGTCAGCAGCACCTGTCGGTGCGTACGTGTTCAGCGCCGCTTGCACCGTCGGCGCCTTCCGCTCCGCCGCCGGCTGCGTCGTGTACAGCGTCTGGAACACCCATGTCAGGGAGTAGATGCCCAGGTCCAGCAGCGCGCCACCCGCCAGGTCCGGGTTCACCATCCGGTGCTTCCCGTCTGGGAACGCATTTTCTGGATCCAGCGCTACGCAGTTGTCCGCTGTTACGCGCTGCACGCTGCCGAGGCGCCCGGATGATATTTGCTCGCGCACGTAGACCGAGATGGGGAAGTAGCGCGTCCAGACGGCTTCCATGAGGAAAAGGTTCTGCGTTCCATTAGCCGGGTTGCCATTGGGTGCTGCCGAACCGCCAGCCCTGCAGGGAAAAAACTATATGCAAACACACCTTCTCCTTAGCCTTCTTAACCAGCTCCTTCAGCTGCGCAGCATTGACCGTGAAGGCCTTCTCGCACAGCACGTTCTTGCCGGCATTGAGGCAGAGCATGGCATTCTGGTAGTGGTGCGAGTGGGGCGTAGCGATGTAGATGATGTCGATGTTCTGGTCCTTGACGAGCTCCTCGTACGAGCCGTACGCCTTGGCCTCGGACGACGCGCCCACCGTCTTCAGGAACTTGGCTGCGCGGTCCGCGCTCGACGAGCTGGCGGCCGCCGTCACCACGTGCTTGATGTTGGTGACGCCGCGTGTGGCCGGGTCTACGAGCAGGTCTTTGGTGAAGGTCTCGGCGATCAGGCCGGTCGCGAGGATGCCCCAGCGGATCTCTTTGGGTGCCATTGTGAGGTGTTGTGTTGATTTGATGCTGTAGGAAGGTGATTGGGGGGTGGATTGAGGGCGATTGAATGGAAGAATTATAGGTGGGCAAAGGTGGGAGTGGATGGGCAAGAGTGGTGGGATCCAATCGAAGCTACATACCCCGCCGATGATGCAAGTGGGGCCGGGCATAGACTGCCGCTTTCGGCGCGTCGGCATTTGACGGCGACTGACGAGTAGTAAACAATTCCCGTGCTGACAAGATAAATATACATCTATCTAGCCATTCCGGAACAAGAAGCTGTAAGCACTGAGAGCCGGCGCGCCGCCCAAATGCGCATACAGCACGCGCGAGCCCTCCGGAAACTCGCCATTGCGGACCATCTGAATCATGCCATCCATCGACTTGCCCTCATAGACGGGATCGGTCAAGATGCCCTCTGTCCTTGCGCACAAGCGAATAGCCTCCAAGGTGCCATCATTCGGAAGGCCGTACTCAGGCCCGCCAAAGCGCGTATCCAGCACGACATCCTTCTCCGTAATCTCGCGGCCCAGCTCGACGAGGTCGGCCGTGTTCCGCGCAATGCGGAGCACCTGCTCCCTAGTCTTGTCCGGCTTGGCCGACGCATCAATGCCAATGACGCGGTCGGCGCGCCCGTCGGCCGCAAATCCCACCACCATGCCCGCCTGCGTGCTGCCCGTCACGGCGCACACGACCACGTAGTCGAACTTGAAGCCCAGCTGCTGCTCCTGCTGCCTGACCTCCTCGGCAAAGCCGACGAAGCCCAGCCCGCCGCGCGGATGCTCCGAGCACCCGGCCGGGATCGGGTACGGCTTGCCGCCGGCCTTCTTGACGTCCTCCATGGCCTGCTCCCAGCTGGGCCGGATGCCAATGTCGAAGCCCGCCGCGTCGAGCTTGATGTCTGCGCCTAGGATCCGGCTGAGCTCAATGTTGCCCACGCGGTCGTACACCGCGTCGTGGTAGTTGACCCAGTTCTCCTGCACCAGCACGCACTTGAGCCCCAGGTGCGCCGCCACGGCCGCCACTTGCCGCGTCTGGTTCGATTGGATGCCCCCGATCGTTACCAATGTATCGTAGCCCCCCTCCAGCGCTTCCGTCACCACGTATTCTAGCTTGCGCGTCTTGTTGCCCCCGAATGCGAGCCCCGAGTTGCAGTCTTCGCGCTTGGCGTATAGCTCGACCTTCCCGCCCAGGGCGGCCGAGAGCCGCTTGAGCGGCTGGATGGGCGTCGGCCCGTTGAAGGTGAGCTCTGTCTTGGGGAACTTGTCGAGTCTCATGGCGGTGGTGGATGGATAGGTAGGTGAGGTGTAGGAGGAGAGAAGAAGGAAGATTGATCAGGAGGGCATTGAGCGCGCCGAAACGCCCTTTTCAACCTTCATTCTCGGTCTGCGGCAGCGGGGTTGATGCGATTGCACTCGGCTTCATGTGTACCATGCCGGCCGACATCGCGCACGGAGTGACTGTGAGCTCTTACTCACCCCGCGTTTCACTCGCTTCGGCCCTACTTCCCGGTGTCTCCGCGAGGCCTGAGTCCATTCACAACACCATGAAAGTCAACATCAATGACATGGAAACCACTGACATTACCAAACGCACACTAACCTGCTAGTTTGCTAAACCCTGTTCTACAAAAAAGCCTTGACAACTCCTCCACAAAAGAAACCCCAATTGCGCTCATTTCCTTCCACTCTTCCTCTTCCTCGCCTTCGTCTCGCCCTCCTTCTCCAGCGGTAAGCCCTTCCGCTTCTGTCCAGCATTTGGCTTAACATCGTAGACCTTCTTTGATGCCGCCTTATCAACCTCGACCTTCTTCACCGGCATCGCCAAACTTTCCGGCAAGTTGCAGTCGCGAAACAGCGTAAAGTCAGCGCACTTTTCCCTGCCGAGATGCGTGACAGAGTACACGCCTTCGCGCTCGTATTCCTCCCCAAACATCTGCTTCCACGGCGTGGCATCTGGCAGCTGAAAGCGCGACTTCCACGGCACTTCTGCCGGGGCGGGGTAAGGGGGCGTTTCGTCCGTTTCGTCCATTTCGAGGTCTAGTGCGGAAGCAGGTCAGTCATGTTTTCTATTAGAGTGCGAGATGGAATGGCAAGAAATGACAGGAGACGAGGGGAAAAAAGGCAATATAGAAGAAAGAGAAAGAAAAAAGGCCATAATTACTCACCACGCCTCATATCCCGATCCATTCTAGCGCTCTCCCAGTTTGCCGCAAATATCGTCTCCCCAAAATCGAACGCCGGCGGCCGATCCGCCCACCATGTCTCCTTCCAAGGCGCCAAGCGGTCTGACGTCGACGGGCGAGACGCACCGTTCCGCTTACCGCGCGAGAAGCGGTTCCTGTCGCCGTTTGAGGAATCGGAACTGAAACCGTCGTCATCGGAAGGGACCCCGCTTCCGCCTCTGCCACCATTGCCGCCGCCGCCGCTGTAGCCATGTCGGCGTTTGCTCGTGTCATCTTCCTCTTCATCGTCGGAGCGGTCTCCGATATTACGGTGCCGGTGAAGGGTACTCATGCGCCGGCTACTAGAGCGGGTGGTGGACTCTGTGGCTGCTTTGCGCGTCTTGGACGTGCCGTCGTTGTCGTCCTCGTTAGGCAAGTTTGTTTCCCTGTTGTCATTGTCAGCTACGGCGGTGGACTAAGGCGCCTAGGCGCGCTACTTGACTAACCGCTGCGTGGTGCGAGAAGCACCGCGCTCCTCTTCAGAGTTCTTAGAATTCTTCTCCACGCGATGTTTGTGCACCTCACGCAACGCCTCAGATCTGCCTTTATACTCGGCGCGCTCCTCGAGCGAGCGGAGGGGAGCGGTGGGGTCCAGGGTGGGTAGGGAGCCAGTGGAGGAATAATTCTCGAAGACGCGGCGCCAGGCCGCGAGCTCGATATTCTTCAGGTTTTTGCTTTCTGCCAGGAGTTTCCAAAATTTTCTGCCGTCCGGCACGTTGATCTTGTAAGGGATTTCTTCCTGCTCTTCTTCCTCTCCTTCCTCGACTCTCTTCTGTCTGGCGATCTCCGCCTGGTGCAACCGCAGCAGCTCCTTCACGGCCGCGTATAGCTGCTCGTCGTACTCGAAGGGCAGAGTCTTGTATCCCTCAACGATATCGCGGTCGATGGCGGCGAGAAGGGCTGCGAAATCGGCCTTTTTGGCTCTGCTGTAATTGTGATGGAGCTGTGAAAGTCCGGTGAGGATCCAGTGGCAATCCACCAGGCGCTCGTTCGCATGGGCTGTGTTAGAAACTGTAACGGGCGGATAGGGCTCGCGTTTTTTCTTTAGGCTGGAGGGCTTGCGGTAAAGGGGTTCGAGGTACCGTCTACAGATTTTAGGAGTGTTGCTGTGGATAAAAGGGGAAACGCACTGCCACGGGGAAGATTCTGCGGCCATGGCGGGTAGTTGTGCCTGCCTATTTGGCCAGCTAGCAAGCTAAGTGGTTGTACAGACGGAGCTATGCACGCTCAGTAGTCGTCGATATCGAACAAAAGCGACACCTAATCCCAACCAACTAGAGAGGTAAATAGAAGTAACAGCTCTTCCAGCGGTTACTTGTATCGTGTAGAGCACAAAAGCGCAGCAGGTCCAGCCACGCTTTAGATATATCGTCAGGCCCTTTGTCCGTGCCATGGCACAAGACAAACGCGAGCGAGCGCTTGCGTGAGCTCAAAGACGCTCTTTGGTGTTGGGTGGATGGTATGGCACGTTTGCGGCCGGCGGAGCAGATAAAGAGTTGTTTGCGGTTGCGTGCGTGAGCGGGTTGTTTGTTTCGTGCGTGCGTGTGGATGGATTGGGGTTGGTGGTTTGGCTTTGTTCGCGAGCTGAGAGGGAAGGCGCTTTCTGCCTATGGTCGCGCTTGCCCAGTGCCAAGATGCTTGGCAAGAGGAGCAAAGATGATTTGAGAAGTTTATGGATTATGTATTTCGTAAAAGTTTAGGATGTGAATTCGTACCTAGGTGTGGAGGTATCCATGTGGATGGTTTATTGCTGTGTGGGAGTATGAAGGTATGATTAGAGTACTATCGAGCCTGTAGAACCAGGAGAACTTGCCTGATCTGAGTTTGTATGGGTATATGTATATACCTATGAATAGATGGATGAGCATAGCTTCATACCCCACGCCTTTCACCATCCACTTCATCGCCATGTTTCCCCCTTCCCTCTCCCACACCCTCCTTCGCCCCCTCACCGTCCAGCTCCGCCCTCCCCTGTCTCCCTATCCCATCCAGCTCCGCAGCCCCCACCTGACCCGCCGGCATCTCCACCGGCGCCACCGGCGACGCATCCAGCTCCGCCCTCTCCTCCAACGGCGCCCCCATCTCCGCGACCTCCCTCTGCGACTCCAACTCCACAGCCCGCCACTTCGCCGCGACATCCCCATCTTCCTTCGACCCAGGCATCTCGTGCTTCGAATTCGCTGCTGCGTCGAGCTCGCCTGATGGCGTTGACTGCAGCGGTTGTGGCGGCTGGAAACCTGGTTGCCCGGCTGGATTGGCGTCGAGTTCGGCTTTTTGGTAGTCCTGAGACGCGGCGGCTGCTGCGGCGCGGGCACGGGCACGGCGACGGCGGAGGAGGAAGAGGAGTGCGAGGAGGATGGCGAGGGCGGCAATGGCGCCGATGACGATGCCGACGATGGCGCCGGTGCTGAGGCCAGATGAGCCATTATCTTTGTCTGTGTTGTCGGTGTTTGGGGTGGTGGTGTTGGTGGCTTTTTCGTCGACGGGGGCATAGATGGGCACGATGGTCTGTTTTTCTGAGATATCGGGGAGTCTGGCCTGCGCGACGGAGAAGTTGCCTCGGTCGTAGTCGACGACGACGTATGCGTGCTGCAGAAACGCGCGACCCAAAGTATATTGCGTGTCATTGTCGGCGCGCTTGAGTGGGAAGTAGCGTGTTGCGTTGGGGTAAATGGGTGCGGAGGCGTTGAGGGCGAGGCTCGTGTAAGGCAGGTGGAGATTGAAAGAGGGACCCGTTTTAGATGCACTGAGCTTGAAGGTAATTTCGGCATTTTCCTTGATTAGTTGGGAGTGTTTTGTTTCATTTGAGATCAAGTAAAGCGAGTACTCTTCGTCCCAGGTGATGCCGAATGCAGCTTCGAAAGCCTCGCATACGTCGAGCGGGAACCACATCGAAGAGACGATGGATTCGATAAACCAGTAGTCCGGTGTCGACATGAGGGGATTATCGCTGACGCTCGTGCTCACTTCCTGTACGACCAATAGCAGTTGACGCGAAATGTCTGGTCCAAAAGGGAAAGTAAGGTTGTTTGGCTCAAAGCGGGCGGTATCGTAGCCGCCCAGCGTGAGGCTGCCGTATACCTTGGGTGCATTGTTATACACGCCTGCCGTGTATGCCCATGATGTGCTAGGGATATATGTCTGGTTGCGCAGCGTGTGGAGTATCGACGGTTGTGGGTTGTTGAGATCCGAAAAATTGCTAGGTTTTGGATCAAGACCGAACACACCCTCATAGCCCAATGTTTTGTCGGCAATGCCCCCTACGACCATACCTTCCAGCGAAGGAAGATCCTCGCTCGGCCAACCCAGTCCTACCGTATCGAAGCCGAAGTGACCTCGGGCATCCTCGCCAGCTCCTAGCTGATTCTCGAGCCAGAGAGCGAGTTCCCAGAGGCCTTCGTCCTTCCACGATGTGGACTCGTTAATGTAGAACAATTTGCCGCGCCCATCTTCACAGGCGTCAAAGTTGCCGTCTTCGCTGTCTTGGCAGCCTTCTGGTAGGATGGGCCATGTCGCTTCCCGCCCAGTGGCTGGAAGGAGGCGCAGGCTCTGCGGAGGTGTGCCGACAGTGAAGGAGAAGGTTGACCAGGGTCCGTCGTTACCATCCCTTGGCTAGATATGAGCGCGGTAGGAGATATCTTTGCTTATATGATCGTACCAGTATTGAGTGGGCGCCAAAGAAAGCGGCTTCGGCGTGTTAGTATCGTTTGCCGCAATGGAGAGACGTGTAAAGGATATGGATAAGGCAATCAATGATCTGATGCGAAGTATTAACATGTTGACCGAAGATTTTCATGCCCGTGTAAGAAAGCATGCAAATTCGAAGCGAGTGACGATAGGAAATGACATGCAATTATTTTAAGCTGGCAAGACAGACTCTTGAGAAGTATGAGATGCGGATGAGATTAGAACCCAACTTTACGCCTGTCTCTTGTCAGCACCAGGGGCGCTTACGGCCTCAGGCGGATGCAGGTTCTGCCCGCCACGACGTTACACGGCAGCAGGAGATGGTCTGATCTGTGGGCAGGGTCTAGCGATCGGTGCCCCACACGGCCCGCGGGTCTTCGTCCTCCGCATCTCACAACTCCTCCACATTACAAACTTTAAATTATTCTTAGCGTGTGCACCTATCACGATGCATGTGCCGACGACGACTATTGATACAGGTGCAACCTCAGGTGCCTTGGAGCCAGAAGCCAGGCTCGCCGGCCCCGCTGACAATGCCTCTCTCGTGCGCCCGCCAAGTGCAATTCTACCGCCAGCTGAGTATAGGTAGGTTTCACCACTTGACGGCCGATGGTGAAAAATAAAGATACTTTGAAGGCTTTTCACCAATATTGGCATGTGGCGCATGCTCAGCCCCGGTCAGCTAGGGCCCTGGTGTGCACCTTCCCGTCCACCACTCAGCGACGGGCATTCTCGGACTTGATCACCAAGAACGAGCTCGTATTGATCAGGCTGCCGTTCGACCTTCGGACTGCCTTTAAAACACCCCATTGCGCACCGGAAAACCTCATCAATTCTTTTTCACCTTTAGTCTCTCGTTTTCAGGTCCACGCGGATAAAGCAATGGCTTGGGTCACAGTGCTGTTTTTAGCCGCTGTATCGGCAGTGGCTGCCTTTCCACAACAAAGTAAGCCTGATTCTGTTTCGCCATCCCAGGCCGCTTATCCGTAGATAGCTCCATATTCCAATACGACATTTTCGCCCTCTAGCTCTGCTCTTGCTACGACAACGCCGGCAGCACAATGCAGTCCCAGTTGCTTCGCGACTCCTCCCGGATTCGTGGGACAGTCATGGCTTCGAAACAATCTCACTACAACAGTCACTCTCGCGACAGTCATTACCATCATCAACACTCGCTTGAACACAACCAGATATGTGACGAAGACAGCTGTTGTTCCAAAAGGAATTGAATTGCCACCGACGAATGAAAACGGCACAGCCTACTGCATTGTTACTGCGTTTGGTACCCTTACCACCGTTGCGTACCCGACAGTGCTCAACGACTACGCTAAATCCTACTTATGGAGTGGGGTGCTTCCCACAACGAGAGCAAATGAAACAGAAGTCGTCTGCTCAACGGCATCCAAAGCCTGGGTGACTTTTTCCTCCCATCCAAACTACAACTCCTACCTAGCCACCCATGACCGAACGTCTTCTACTACGACACCAACCAATACTCCCATTCATAGCACATATGACCCTCTCTGGGACGATCCACGAGGACTCAATTATCGATGCGAGGTTGAACACAAAGAATGTGACTGGGAATTTATAGACGCTCAATTCCCAGACGAATACGCCTTGCACAATTGCATTCCTCCATCGATTGCGAGCCCGGCGCAGGTAATGCTTGTAGCCGGCTATCTTATTGCGTCGTCCGTGTCTTACGAGGACGACGACGTCGAGGCCACCAAGGTTCCAGAAATACCACGCACCGAGCGCTCAGAGAAACCAATTCCACCGACACTTACCGGGCATAGAGTGCAAATAGAGGAGTCAGCAACTGCGGTGCCGCTTACGACTGTCGGACTGATTGAGCCGTCGACCCAGGATGAGACTACGGTTCCCAACACTAAGAAACCTATAACTCCTCCAGCTCCTACATCAACTCAAGATGGAACTACTATTCCCCATACCGAAAAGTCAGGGGCACCGTCGGTTCCCACTCCTGCTGGTGTCGTGACTTCGCTGTCACACACCGAACAGCCGGTCACTGTTGGGCTCCCTGTCCTTACCTCGAATCAAGAAGTGACTGAAACTGCCCACACCGAGAGGTCTGAAACAGCCCTTCCGCCTTCTCCTACTTCCAAGGAGGAAAACGCCAACACCGACTTGCCTGTCACTGTGCTTCCTTCTCCACCCACTTCATTCGAATCGACTCCGGCATTTGCGCATACCGAGATATCCTCGAGCCCCGAGCCGCCATCGCCAACTTCTAAGGACAGCGCAACGGAGTCCACCGTTCTGACAGTGCCCATCGTAACCACAGTTCCTGGCGCCAGCGGATCGAGCTTGGTCGTGACGACCCATAGTAGCTTCCGCGTGCCTGCGACGGCGCACATCGAGAGCTCCGTTACTAAACTGATTCCTCCCAGTGTGATCACGATTGCACCCACCGCCCATATTGAGAGTTCCGTTACGGCTGTCGATCCACCAACTGTGATTACCATCGTGCCTACAGAACACATCGAGTCCAGTGCGGAGGTAATACCGCCATCAAAAACGGTCGAGAGGGGTTTTACGTCGGCAGGAGGCGCACCGCCAAAACAGACCATTTCCATCGGGTCGACTGCCGTGGTTGTTGTGCCCACTTCCATTTCGAGGACTGTCGACGGCACTAGCACGAACGTCCCTGCTGTGCTCGTAGGTTCCTCTATTCTTACAGCCGGTCAAGCCGTCACAGCCGATAATACCCCTGTCGCCGTGCCTGCCGCTACTTTTCAGCCCCAATCATCCCTGCAAGACCAGCCCCCTGTCATTGTCATCGGCGACTTTAGTACCGTAGTCCTCCCCACCGCACCTGTACCGTCTCCACCCGCCCTCGCTATTGGCGGAGAAACCATCCACCCTTTCGCCTCCGCCAACATAATCTCCGGCGCAACTCTCGCCCCCGATTCGCCTATTACGCTCGGCACTGGCTCTTCCGCTACAGTCCTCGCTATCACCACCAATGCCGCCGGCCACAGTGTCGTCCTCGTTGGCACCAGCGCCGCGCCCTTCGTCACGCCCGCTCCAGCTGTGGAGCTATCTGCTCCGGTGCTCACGGTCGCGGGACAGACGGTCCGCCCTTCTGACGACGGCAACCATGCTGCATACGTCTTCTCCGGGCACACACTTGAACCAGGCTCGCCTGTAACGTTAGGTAGTGGTCTCTCAACCACAGTCCTGGCCATAACAACCGACAGTGCTGGGAACAGCGTCGTCGCTATCGGTACGAACACGGTGCCATTCGTCGCAGCAACCAGCATAGCAGTCGCTCCCCTCGTCCTCGGCACTCAGACAATCACGCCCAATGGCGATGCGTACGTCGTCGCAGGCCAAAGCCTCTTCCCCGGCTCAACGATCACGCTTGGCACTGGCGCCAGCGCCACCATCATCGCGCTCTCGACAGACTCGGCAGGCGAGCGCGTCGCGCTCGTCGCGACTGGCGACGGAAGCACGCAGACGCAGACGCAGGCTCCGGCTTCTACGACGGGGTTGGCACCGCTGACGTTGCTGCCAGGTCAAACTGTCGCGCCGGAGGGTAGCGCATACGTCGTTGATGGGAAGGCACTGCTTCCTGGCTCGACTGTCACGGTGGGGTCGGGCACGGAGGCAAGGACTGTGGCGCTCACGACTGACGAAGCGGGCCGGACGGTGGCGGTTGAGGGTGGACGGACACAAACATTGGGGGCTGGGACGACGACTCGGCCGAAGTCGCCGTCGTCGGCGTTGTCGAGTGAGCGGCGCACTACTAGTGCCAAGACGGGAAGGCCGAGTGGGACGGGAAGCGCAGCGACCACGACGAGTTCGGAGGGTGCTGCTGCTGGTAATGTTATGAGTGGAATGGGGAAGAGGTGGGGTGCTGGAGTAGTGGGGGTGGGAGTGGGGTTGCTGGTGTTTTGAATTAATGCGTAATGAGATGGATGAACTAATAAAGAGACGGACGAAAACGAATGGGTGTATGGGCTTATGAAACAAAGTATAGCAGGCAGGTGGACGAAGAGTTCATGGGTAACGTTGAATTTGCTATGGTGAGGGGTAAATATTAATTATTATTATTTCCAAGTCCCTCGTGAGTAACTCATCCAACCAAGAGCGCGGTTTCTACATCCATTCACGGAGTACTTTGTAGGGAGCATCTTCAAGGAGCCGTTACCCCTCGTAAGTAATACTGCTATCCAACGAACGCAGCTTCTACTTCCACCTATAGAGGGTTCTGCGGGGAGCGTCTTGAAGGTACTGCATACATACCTACCCTCACCCATAAATAATATAATACTTTAATTTAGAGAAAAAATCAGAAGTAAAACAAGAAGAGTAGTAGAGATTTAGCAACAGTCCCCAAGGCGCTCAAAATAGTGTTCAGCACTTAGACCACCCCAGTAAGTCCGACCACAGGCGCCTAACCCGATTAGTAGTTGTTCAGAACGCAGCTTTGAACGCTGCGGAACGCTTGCTAAACCTCCATCAACAACCACAAAACAGCAGGCATCTCAACTCCCAGTCCGGCAATACCAATCACGGCCTAGCAACATCGCTTGCCGCCCAAGCACCATCCCACACATGCTTTCTCCGCCGTGACTCCTATTTAAGCCGTCGTAAATATAGCAGCGGCCCCTGATGTAACACCACTCCTACCATCACATCACCATCAGCACAACCTCATCCTCATTTTTGCACTCATCTCATCTCATCTCATCTCCCTCCGCTCTCATCAGCGCCCACAACCACCCAATGCATTTCCTAAACCGCACTCAACGCCTCGCCCTCCTCACCATCCTGTTCTGGTACTCCCGGCGCCGACGTCTCCGCCAACTCGAGGAACGAGAACGAGAACTAGATGAGGAACGGCAAGAGGACAAGCGGGAACGAGAACGCGAAGCACGCCGTCTCGCCCGCAGACAGGTCCGTAAGGCGCGGAGGCGTGAGCTGCGCAGTACTGCGGAGGAGTCGAATGCAAACACTACTACCGTCACCGCCACTACCGCTGCTGCCGCTGATTTCAGTGGCGAGCGGGTGCGCAGGAGACTGCTGTTTACGCCGAGCGTTACCACTGCTACCACGGAATCGGGCAAAGAGGCTAAGGAATTGGCTACTGTGCCTGCTTCTCCCACCGCGGAGCCCGTGTCTGCGCGAGAGGATAGAGAGATGTGAGGATCTTTCGGGGTCGAGTAGAGCAGAGCCTGTTTGCCACGCAGCAGCCACGCGCTGGCGGTCGTATGACGACGCGGGGTGTGCGACACGATGAAGCTGAGAGGGGAAAAGGAAGCTGCTAGGACTTAGTCCTGGGTGTATAGCTAGATAAGGAGTATTCTACAGGGACTGCTTGTATCCCAAACGCATCCTTCTCTAGCTCGCTAATAGTAAATCTCTCTTAACGGTGACGGACGTGAAGTAGACAGGATTCAATGGGTCATACTGAATCTAGTAAATGGGTATAGTTAAGCTTATTCAGTGTTTGAGCTAGTTAGTAATTCTTAACTATTAAGATTAGTGTTAACCGTTTATATAGAACTTATTTCTCGTTATATCAGTTAAGGTAGGCGAATGGTTATAAAGACTCTAGACGCATATACTAATAAATATCTTCTTAAGAGTCGGAGTTTACTAACCAGCTTAAACATCCCAACTAGCCCTAGTCTGTCTGAACAAACAACTATATTATAAGTTAGCGTCCAAAAACAAGCGTAACCAACATGTACCAGAGAGCGCAATCTCTAGGTAACACCTTCCGCTATGTCTTGCAAAAGCACGGCCTCAACTCGGCGTTGGTGCACCAAAACGTAGGTCCCATCTACCGAAACGGCGAAACGGCACGGCAGAGGTAAACATACCCTCAACCTCCGTTTCGACGTCTACAAGCTCGCTTGCCGCCCACGCACCATGCCACGCACCGTTTTCTCCGTGAAACCCCTATTTAACAGCGATTTCGTGATAGCTGCCCTGATGTAGCACTGCCGTCATCATCACCACCACCATCTCCCCCGCATCATCATCATCATCATCCCCCTCTTCTACAACCATCACCCTCCTCGCCACCACAGCACCCACAATGGACGACGTGAACGACATCGACGCCACCGACGAAGAAAATCTCCAGTGGCAACTCCTACTCCTCCTCCTCTTGCATTACCGCCGCAGCCAATCGCGCTATCGATACAAAACAGAAAAAGAACTGCGAGACGAAGACGAAGACGAAGTGTGCGAAAGCCGCCATCGCTACTCGCTGCGCCGCAACATGCACCGCTGCCTGAAATCAGTGCTGGACGTAGACATGCAAGCAGAGCCGAACTCCGAGCTGGAAGCACAAGTGCAAGCAGCGCTGGAAGAAGAACTGCGCTACTCGCTGCGCTGCATAGAAGCCGAGATAGGCTTAGACCGCGTGGAGGAGCTCTGCCGTCGAGCCCGCGTGAACGCTGCGAAGATCTCAGGCACCACTATTCCTACTCCTACCACGACCGCCGCCGCCGCTGGCGATTTCACCGGCGAGCAGGATCGCGTGTGTCGTATGTTGCGGTTTTCGCCTAGTACGACGACGACCATGACGCTTCCTGCCGCCAGCGCTGTAGAGCAGAGCCCGTTCGTCACGCGCATGCCACGGGCAAGTCACGCACAAGCGCAGACGGGTCGCGCTAGCGGCGGAGTGGTGAAGCGGGGTGCTAGGGTGCGGAGGTAAAAAGTCGAAGATGTTGGATTCGGGGACATCTTTACCGTTAAGCGAGATAACACTGGTATGGAGTAAAAAGGAGATCTGGTATGGAGATTTGTTGTATATATATGCGCTCTCTAAGACCCTTTTACTTGTTGCTAGGGTTGGGGTTTGTACATAGAAGTAGCTATAAGGAGGATTCTATAGGGTCTGCTTGTTATATCCTTCTCTATCTCGCTAGACAGTGATAAATGTTGCGTGTAGCAGAGAGTGCAACCGTCCCTCCGGTCACCTCGCAGTAGGTAAACTACAGCAACTATTGTTGTTAAAACCATGGCGTTTGTAGGCCGAATCAGGCGTGAAAAACAGTAAAAACTGCTGTTTTTACAGCAATATTTGCTGTAAAATACAACATTTATAGCTGTAAATGTCCTAACTATCTACCCGGTACTGTGCCTACTACCGCCTCCTCCTGCTCGCTCTGACCGCTGCTGTCTCTCGCTGCTAGGACTGCTGCTGGTGCTCGCTAGGGTTGCTACTGTCGCTTACTCTGACTGCTACTATTGCGTTGTAACGTCCTTCACCTATAAACGAAGTTCTTCGTTCAGCGAAATCGACTAATTAGACTATTATTAACAGCATATCGCATGGCTCTCCTAGGCTGAAGGATTCGGGCTTTGATTGGGTAGCTTCATTAAATGGCGAACTTCGCTCATACGCGAAGGACGTTAGTTGAGAATTTAGATATCTTTAGAAGGGAGAGGTAAGAGAAATTTTTTAACTTAGCGTAAAGCTAATTATTAGTTTTGCGTAGCAGAGCTTTACTGCGATATTTGATGTATTTTACATACTACAGCGATGTAAAATACACTCCTAAATGCTGTAATTGACAGCATTTATGTGTGTGTTTACAGTCCGAAGTGACTTGAAGGCATCTACAATCTGCACAAACGAAAGCAGAGAGGAAGTACAAAAGATAATCAAAATCATCAACTGCCATTCAGAACAAAGTCCAGAACCCGGAACGCTGCTAAACCTCCCATGCCTCCCTCTTGACGTCCGCAAAACAGCTGGAAGGTCAACTCCCAATCGAGCAATGCCACTCGCGGGTTAGCACGTTGGCACCGTTGCGTGGCGCCCGCCGGGCCTTGTACTAAGGCACGCGACTCCTTTCTGTGATAGACTCCTATAAAAGGGAGTTTGTGGAAGCAGCCCCTTGCACACAATGGCATTCCACCTCCTCATCATTACCATCACCCTCTGCTGCAACCACCTCTCGTCACGCAACCCCAGCATCCACAATGGACACCCTTAGCAACTTGACCGGCCTCGCTCACTTCGAAGAGGAAACGGGCCTCCTGATACAAATCCTCTGGTTCCGTCGCCAACAGGAGCGCCGCCAGCAGCTCCTTCTAGAAGCGACCGAGGAGTTGGATGAGTACGAACTGGCCGAGAAGAAAGACCGCGAGAGGCGTCGCCGTCGCCAGCTACGCCGCAAGCTACGCTATTTGAAATTACTGGAGGAGGCGGAGCTGGAATCGGAGCGTGAGGCTGCGGAGTGGGACCTGGAAGCGGAGCGCGAGGAAGCGGAGCGTGAGGAGGCAGAGCGTGAGGAGGCAGAGCGCAAGGTGGCAGAGTGGAAGGAAAAAGTGCTCAAGAAGTACCGTCGCCGCGAGCTGCGCAGCGATCTGCGCCATTTGGATACATTGGAAGACTTGCTGGAGACAGTATCAGCAGCAGGGGATGCAGAGTTGGATGAAGACGAGCGCGAAGCTCGCCGCATCGCCCGCATCGAGGCACGGAGGGCCCGGAAGAACAAGCTGTTGCTGTGTCGACGAGGCGCCACCGCCGCAACCGCTACAGATCCTGCGGAATCTGCCTCTCTACAGCAAGGCCATCGAGAACAGAGCCAGGCAGAACGAAAACCGCGAAAGTCACGCGCAAGTCACGCGGCAGCGCGGACGGGTCGCGCTGGCGATGGTGTGGTGACGTGGGCAAGGGCGCGACGCATGGGAGCTGCAGCGGTGACGTCACGGCGTCGCGAATAAAGCACCTCGCTGCATCGCACATGGATCTTGCAACCTACCTAAAACTCTTTTATCTATCACCCTTGCTGCGGCGCCTATTACGAACTTTTCCTAAGCTGCATTGTCGCTGTAGGGTTCTTTGACTGCACGACTGACTTCTTGACGACTGGTTGGTTGATTCTTGAGCACCTAGCTGAGTGATTGGCTTACACCTTGCCTTATGCGCTATAACGCGGTTTGTTTGTGTTTGTTTACTATCAAATACTAGCCGATAAGCAAAGATGCCCAAGGCTCGCAAACCCGCTGCTAGGCGCGCGGAGCCCGCTGGTGCGGCGTCGGCGGCTGGTGCGAGGAGTACGCGTGCTAGTTCGGCGAGGAATGGAAAAGAGGTGAAGAGGGAGGAAGAGCACGAGAACAGCCCTGAGGTAAAGAAGGAAGTGAAGAACGAGAGCTGAGATGTGGAGAACGAGATCGCAAAGGTGAAGAAGGAGGACCTCGGAGTGAAGAAAGAGAGCCCTGCGGTAAAGAATGAAGACGAACAACAGGGTGGCGAGGTGCAGGAAAATGTATGTCTTTGACGCTCTCATTCGACATCAACAGGCTTCCGCCGAACGCACCGCTGACGTGCATTCTCCTCAGCAACCGCAGCCTCATATGCACCATCTCTCCTCGCCAGAGAGCTACCTACTCAGATCGCAGTCGCCGGGACGAGCAACCCCAGAGTGACGCGCCTGCTGACGATACCAGCGGATTTCACCTTCAGCCAGCTACACGAGAAGATCCAGGTGGCCTTCGGGTGGTGCGACATGCACATGTACACGTTCGACGTGATGCCACTGCCGGGCGACGACCCGCAAGAGATGTCTTTATTTTTCTGGCGGCGCACGCTGCTGCACATGTCAGAATCTGGCATCGATTATGGCGGCGACGGCCCGCACCGTTTCCCTGTCAAGAAGGCAAGCGACTACACGCTGCGCGACATCTATGAGGGCGAGGAATTCAACAAAGACAAGATCGAGGTGCAGTATGAGTACGACATGGGCGACGGCTGGCGCCATCACATCGTCTTCCTTGGACGCGCCGACCCGAGCTTGCGCCGCGTCATGGGTATACCGCCTGAGGTGAAGGTCATGTGCCTTGGTGGCGAGGTATGTTTCTCCCTATTCTCTTATTACCTGTCAACTGTCGAGGTTATGGAACAAATGCATTCGCATGACAGGGCACAGCTAACGGGTCTGAGCAGGGCCATCCCGTCGCCGAAGACTCGGGCGGGAAATCCGGATGGGCTGCCCTGAAAGCGGTGTTTAAGAGGAGGAACAGGGATGATCGCAAAGCGTGGTATAAAGAGGACTGTGGAAACGGCGACCCAAATGGCCTGGATCCGTATAAATGGGACTTGCTGGATGTGAACGATGATCTCGTGGACGTTTTCCCTCCGGACGAGTGACGATGGATAGGGAATAACGGTCGCGGAAAAGTCTCACAGCTTTTTAAGTGTAAATATATTGTGTGCTTATGATGTGGGTGGATCGTGGGTATGATATTATCTCCAGGACAAGAAATTATTCCACGCAGATACTCCCACAACACTAAATCGCCAGACCTACAAATACGCTCAATAAACAGACACCCACGTACCCAAGACACGCCTTAACTAGCAGCATCTTCAATAACATACACCCACACGCCTCGCCATGCATCCAACAATCCAAAAATCAGACAACAGCTAAACACCATTACCACCACCACCAACCACGACACACCGTCCAGTGAGCCAAGCACTCCCTACCTACAGCGCCCTCCCATTCCGCCAGCCACCAACCTAAGCCCGAGATCTAAAGCAACAGAAAGTCCCTAACCTGCGCGCCCACACACATACACACAATACATACAAATCTTACCCAAATTCCTTCTCCCCTCCCTACAAGCAAGAAACGTGTCCGCGCTCCTGCTCGTGCGGATGCTTCGGTGGATGGGTATACAGGTTATCGGCAGTGTGTACTGTATAAAGCCTGGGATCCTTTGTTTCCCGTTCCCGGCTGCCGACTCTACTGTCACCCCACCTTATCTGCCTGGGAAATTTGCCTATTTGCGTTCGGTTTGGCTCTCGGCTCATGCAATTGGGACTGAAGACTGGGATGGGGGGTTCGTGAAGGATGCGCTTGCTGGTTTTTGGTAGTTGTGGGGGGTTTGGCTGGCGGGGGGCTTGTTGCTGTGCGAAACTGCAGGGGTCTGGTAGGTCTGGGCGGAGGAGGAGGTTTGGGGAGCATGTTGACGTATGTGTTCGTATTGGGAGGCTGGCATGGTTGTGCCTTTGCACGCTACCAAGGAGGAACCCAATGACAAAAATGAAAAAGCATGCTGGGAACTGCTCCTCAAACGGCGAGCTGCCTCAGGAACTGAGTGATATTCTGGTTCAGGCTATATCTTTGTGATCGAAAACGGTATTCATTGGTAAATTTTACATTAATGATGTTCCTCGGCAACACGATCATGAGTTGCAGTGTGTCGTGTCTACGTGATGTCATCGATTAAAATCCTACCCAAAACGGACTCTTCTGCCGGGAGCTATACATGGCTTGCAATATGTGTGCTGGAGTATGGATTTTGGGTCTTTTTACCGCAGATCCCCATGGATTGTGAGTGCATATCGTTGTATGACTTGAGAAAGTGATTCGTTTTGAGTTGTGGTTTGTACGGTAAGATTTGATCTAATATATAGCCGCATACACTGACGCCGTATCCACCACCCTCTGATCGCATCGACATGATAGCCTTCCTAACCTCATCATCTGCGATCGCAACACGTAGTACTGGCACAAAACACAACTCGCTTGAGCTTTGAGCCGGCAGATTGCGTTTCAAGTTAGAGGTCCAAACTCCGAAAATTGTATGTCCATCGTCACGTAGTTGACTGATGGATAGCGGGAGAAACTTAAAGATTTATGCTTCTAGTGGCCCAGATTCTGTTGCGGATTCGTTTTCCTACTCAGTATGGCTTTTGTTGTGACTTTTGATTATATCCTGCGCTGGTACAGCTGTTCCTTTCAGACCGCTTTCTCCGACGCACAAGACCCATCCATAACGTGATGGCTTTTCGTTCCTGCGACCTTCACTTTCGGCTAGTCGCATGCGGCGCTGCTGCTCGCTCGCAGTTGTGCCATCCACCGGTTTATTGTGCGTTGCTTTGTCCGTATCGTGCGCGGAGCCGTTGATCTCTATCTTCTCCCTCTCTGATTGCCCTCCACGCAACTTCCCCATCAAGATGACCAGGCATAAGTCACTGGCTTGCTAATTCAAGACCCAGGGCATCCAGCTACGCGATAGCTATGGCGTCGACGTTACAACATCGAAATCGACGCCATATACAGGTACGACTTTGTCGACGGGTAGGGACACAGTATGGTTTCCTTCGGCTGTGATGATGGCTCCTCGAATTCCGGACCATATACAGGGTCTAGCCCGACCTGCGGCTCAACCCTTCGTGAGGGTCAACCGGGTTAGAGACGCTACTTCTGCCTCTACCACTGCCCCTGTCTGGGAGCTGCATCCGAGGTCAACGAAGGGATTAGGCCGGGCCGGGATGGTGGTGACAGTTGTAGTGTTATTGTTGCCGCCGCCAATGCCGTCGTGCTTGCTGATGATTGTAGTGACGGCAGTGGTTCTTCGAGCTTCGCCCGAAGCTTCATGAGCGACTCCTCTTCAAGATGCCGCTCTCCATCTCCATTGTGGAGAAATTTCGCTAGCAAATCCTTCTTCAACATATACACGCCTTGGCGCCTATCCACATAGCTCTGCTTGGCCATGGCCTTATTTTCCTGGAGGTGGAGAATAAGGCGTTCCGAATCGGAGCCGAGATCGATGGCTGGAGCATCCGTATGCGCGATGACGGGGAACATATTCACGTAGGCATCCCTGTCTTTGGCATCCTTCCATTTATCATTGGCATCTTTGCCTCTGAAACTGGTGATGTTCACAATCGGTACGAGCCCATCCTCTTCCGGCGACCACAAGATGACAGCGGGATGATCTTGGATCCCTGTGCTCGCATCTGTGCCGCCTTTTGGGCTTCCATTCTTGCCGTTCTCCTTCCCCTGTGGGTTCTCTTTGTCTTCCTTCTGCTTCTTGGGATCCGGTCGGATATACACAATCCGACCAGGCGTATACTCACCCTCCGCCAACAGTCCAGCTTTCGGAGACCCGTTTTGTGACGACCGGTCGGGGTGGCGAGTGGGCAAGGGGAAGAAGGAGGAAGAATGACGAGCAAGAGTGGGATCAGGCTTCCTCCAGTCGTTGCTGATATAGGCACGGTTTTTCTGTGCCGGTGTATCAGGCCGATTGAATGGCAGGGGGGACAGGAATGAAGCGGGGGAACGTTCCAACCACTGGTTGGTGCGCTTTTCGGCTCGGGATGCATCTACTTCGCCGACACCTGCCGAGTAGGATGCTCCTGGAACCTTCCATGGCAGACGCGGCTTCTCCTCGTTGTTACCAGCCGCCGGCGTTCCTGGAGCAGCCATGCTTGGAGACGGATTGGCCGCGTTGGAGGTATAAATACAGAGGCGAAGGGATATACCGGGGATATGCGGAGTGGGATATAAAGAGAGGTCGATATGAGAAGGCTTTGTTTAGCTGACACAAGGCGTATATCTCTGGGTCTTGGGATCAGTCCGAGAAGATCACGAGAGAGATATTTTCGAGTTGTGGGATTGATGGAGAAGAAGGAACAGGCACAGGCGGGTTATATACGATCTTGATTGGCCTTTTGCCTGCTTGCTGCTCGCCGCGTTTTGTGTTTTGCCTGCTCACGATAGGCTGGGAGAGCACTGTTTTCCGTGGCTGGGGCCCGGAGCTAGCTAGCTGTATTCGTGTTTTGGCTGCTAGTGTGCTACCGTGTGGGAGTGTACAGTGAGCAGTGACCAGGTATATAGGTAGGTTGCAAAAATCGGGGAAATGGCCTCGAGAACTTGTGGTTTCTGTAGGGCGATATGTGCATCTGAAGAAGGTCCTCGAGATATCCGCTATACAGACAGACAGTGCCTCCAACCACGCAAGGAAACAGAATAGCTATGCCAGTCGACCTCGATTATAAACCCCCTACAGGCAAAAGAGCAACTCACAAAAATAGCGTATATTTCCATCTCAGTAATCACCAACTACAGGTCTAAAAGAAAATACGCTGGTTTCGATATCTAAGACAGCAATACATCGTATACACGAAAACCCTTAGCCTAAAAGTTCCGCTTTATATATTCATTTTTAGACACCGCTCCTGATCCTGTTCACACTCGTAGCGTAGTGTAGTGTAGTATAGGTAGTATAGTATAGATATAGCATAAGAACGCGCTGCGTGAGAAGAAGAAGAAGAAGAAGAAGAAGACGTCGACGTCGCCGGCGAAGTACGCATGCACGCAGTACCTTACTGTGGCGGAAGCAGGCCGGCAGACATGCGTGCCGTCGAAGCTCATAGTATCGTTCGTTTAGCGTAGTAGCTAGCTATATAGCTATATATATAGGTAAGTAGGTAGTTAGCCTACATATAAAGTAGTAGAAAACTGCGCATATATTTCCTTACTTCTTCTTTGTTTGTATTCTACTACAAATAAATATATATGTTGGTAAGAATATGAACAGGGACAAGAGCAAGAAAGATCTTGGTGGTGATGTTTTTGCTGGGCTAGGGTCGGGGTAATGGATGAGTACAAGGTAGTGCTTGCTGCTGTGATGTTGTGATGGTGTGGTGCTGGCTAGGTAGGTAGGTGTTAGGAATAGAATAAAGGACAAGGCACGGGCGTTTTATATTTATTGGGTACCTACCTACCTGTTCCTGGTACTATAGTAGTAGGTAGGAGGTGCTTTGCCTAGGTAGGTAGCTAGGTAATTGTGGGCTGCTGACGGAGTATGGGATCTGTGTCTGTGGCCCGCATACGCTGTTCGCTGTTCCTTGATTGTGTTCTCTGTGTGGATTTATAGAATGGGTTTCTGTGTCCATTTAGACTTGCTTCCTACGTACATACAGCTGCTTCACCACGCCTTAGCACTCAGCACCCATACCACACCGCCTGCCCACCCCACCCCCACCGCAACCCCCGCAACACACGCCCCCCGCCCAGCCCAGCTCTAGCGCTTATCCCAGCCGGACACGCACGGGCGACAAGGCCAGCACTCAGCAGCCCACGCCGAGTCCACAATCGTAACTGCCCAGCCAGTGTCGCTTCTTCCCTCGCCTCCGTATCCGTGCACGCGTCGCCGTCGCGCAAGATGGTGCACCGGTGGATCTCGCGTACGGTGACGGGTTGGACTTACTGCTGCGCGCAGGCGCGCGCGCGCGTGTGTTTTATTACTTATTATTTATTTGCAGGCGCCTGCTCGGGCGGCATGTCCTGTCGCCTGTCCACCTATCGCCACGGCCGTCTTGGGGGTTTCTATGGACTGTAGCTGCGTCGGCTGGGGCTGGGACATTGCTGCCGCTTGGCGGGGGAAGGCATGGTTTTGTGTGTGGTGGTGCTTTGTTTGTTTGTTTGCTTCTTTATGTGTGTGCGTGCGTGGAGTATGCACACGTATATATACGTACACATACGTACATACATGCGCGCGCACATAGTCCCAGCAGTTGCGCCCCTGGTTTGGCTTGCCTTGTCCAGCCCCTCGTCTCTTCTCGCGTCGTCCCTTTCTTTCCATGTCCCTCATTGCCCAGGAGCCAAGGCACAGTTCGCAGCGCCAAAACGCGCGCACAGAGGCTTCTGTCCGCGTGGCTTGTGCGGTCGTCTGTCGTTGGTTGTCGGCCGGTCTTGTACATGGGCGACGGTGTCTCGCGACGGATGGTGCTGTGGACGGCTGGATCTTTGCGGTTGGCTGGTTGGCTGGCCGGTTGGTGCTTGTTCGATGTTGTTCCTCCTGTCCGCGGGTCTTCGGATGCTGTGGCTTCCCGTCGTTTACCTGACGCTCTTGCAGTTTGCGCTCTCGTTTGTGGCGTCGCGCGTCTGCTGGTTTGCTTGTTTGCCTGCTGTGGCGTGTGTTTGCTTCATCCCTTTCCTTTTCTTTCTTTCTGAGACTCGATTAGGAGGAGGCCCGGTCCGTCTTCGCAAATCCTGGAAACCTCCTGCATCCTCGCACCGTAGTATAGCTCGTTCCCAACGCGCGAAAGCACATCTAGAGCACTGTTCCTGCTCATTCACCCCCCTCTAAAACCCCTGCCCCCCCATCAAGCTCGCCCTCAGCTGCTCAATCTGCACGCGGTCCTCAGGCCGCAGTGCCGCCATCTGCGCCGGTGTCATCGAGAGCACCTGCCGAATAAGCTCCTGCTGGTCGACGACCTGCGGCGGCGGCGCCTGCGGCTGCGGTTGCTGGAACGGCGCGCCGACCGGGGGCGTCGGCACAGGCATGGGTCCGCGGCCAGTCTGGGGCGGGAAGCCAGGATAGGCGGGGCGCGATGCCATGGGCGTCGCAGAGGGCGGGGGTGGCGCCGCAGCTGCCGCTGCTTGCGGGATCGTGGCCGTGTCGACGACCGAGGTGAGCAGCGACTGGTCGATCAGGCCGAGCAGGAGCAGCGCCTGGAAGATGGCAAAGGACAGCTGGGGTGCCTGGCGCAGGAGCTCGGTGGCTTTGGCCGGGTCGTTGGTCACGAGGTTTTTCATCTGCGAGAGGATGTCGAGCAGCTGGGGCGGGGGCAGCGTTTGCAGCGTCTTGGAAATGGTGTCCGGGCAGGTGAGGTCGGGCGGGACGTCGACGCCGGGGGGCAGAGGCGGCAGTATAGCTGCTGGTGCCTCTGGCGCGTGGCTGGCCGCCGAGGGCTGCTGCATCTGCATCTGCTGCAGGGCGTAGCTGGCCGGGGGCGCGCTCTCGCCGGCGCCGTTGTCGTTGGAGTAGTCGACGCGCAGCTTGCGGCCCATGAGCTCGTAGTCGTTGAGGTTGCGCACGGCGGAGCCGGCCTCCTCGGCGTCGGAGAACTCTGCGAAGCCGAAGCCTTTGGGACGGCCCGTGTCTTTGTCGTAGACGAGGCGGAAGGTGATGACATTGCCTACGCGGCTGAGCGTCTCGGTGATGAGCTCTTCGCTGACGCCTGGGGGATAGTTAGTAAGTGGGAGAGGAAGGGAGCTGGCAAATGCGACGCACCATATGGGATGTTGCCGATGAAGACGACGCGCCCGCCCTTGTCTTGCGGAGGCATAGTGGAGCAGTCTTTCGTGTATGAGGTTGACTAGGTAGGTGTAGGCCGGAACAAGGCAGGTTTGGAGAGACAATGGGAAGCGATGTAGTTTCTTTGGACTAGAGAGCCAAGCGTGACAAGCTCAAGGGTGCATTTGCTACCCGGAGCTTTCTTTTTGCGGGGCACCCCCGAACCAACCATCCGCATGGAATGGTTTCTCCGGCGCCGACGGGCCGCCGCCGTCGCTGGGAAATCGCATCACCGACGACGACGATACCCGCCGCCCGCTCACACACACACACACACACACACAACCCCGCGCCAATGCTGCAACCTAGGATAAGCCCCCAGCTCCGGAAGAGCCTGGTCTCGGCCGCGCCCGTCAGGGCCTCGCGTAAACCATCACAAGACCCAGCCAGACGCCAGCAAGCTAACGCAGACTGCAGTCCTCGCCCAGCACCAGCACCAGCACCAGCACCAGCGCCTATCGCGCAGCATCCCCGCACTCGCAAACAACACCAGCATCCGGCCCTTCAGCTCGACATCCGCGCGCTTCGACTGGCTGGGCCCCAAGTCCGGCCACAACAAAAAGGACCGCAAGGGCCGGCCACACGTGGCCACGGGCGGCTCGACGCGCGGCACCACGGTCGTCTGGGGCGACTACGGCATCCGCATGAAGGACCACGACCGCCGCATCTCGGCCAAGCAGCTCAAGATTGCCGACGAGACGATCCGCAAGCGCCTGAGGGGCATGAAGTTCCGCATGTACACGCGCGTCGCCGCAAACATTGGCGTGTACACGTCGGGCAACGAGAGCCGTATGGGCAAGGGCAAGGGCACCTTCGACCACTGGGCCACGCGCGTCTCCGTCTCCAAGATCCTCTTCGAGATCAAGGGCGATTTGCACGAGCAGGTCGTGAGGGACGCGTTCAGGCTGGCGGGCAACAAGCTTCCCGGTAGGCTTTGCATTGTTCGAGGCGTATTGTGTGGTGCGCTGCTGACTGACTGCTGGTTGTTGTAGGCTTGTACGAGTTTGTCAAAAGGGGCGACCCGCCCGTCATGGGCATCACGAAGCTCACCAACGGCGTGACAGAGGAGATGCTCCGGCGGCCGCGCGTGAAGCTGCCGCTCGAGCAGACTGCCGCCCGGTTACCCGCCACGACCGAGGTTTAGCTAAAAAGGCTGGCTGGGCTGCGCTGTACAAATATCTTAGGGCTGTATATGGAATTGCAAAAACAAAATGCATCGTATCAATTCTGCGCGCCAAATTCACCCGAGTAGAGCGATCAACCCGAACTGCCCACAACTAGAAGCGCCAGGCCCATAGGTACTCACCCGCACAGCGCGTCATCTTAATTGCCTACGCCATAGACACTTCCATTTAGGTAGGTAGGTATCCAGGTAAGCACAGTCACCATCACGAAACCACCACAGTACCTAGGTACAGTACCCACCACCTCACCCACACCCCCTCACCCACAACCACCACTACAACCACAACCACAACCACAACCACCCAACCGAAATGCACCCCCCGCAGCACCCCCTTTCCAGCCGCCCCACCGCTCTAGCAGCAGCTCTCGAACAAGACCAAGAACAAGAACACGAACATGAACAAGAAGAAGAAGAAGAAGAAGAAGAAGAAGAAGAAGAAGAAGAAGAAGAAGAGGCCAGACAGAGCGCCGTGCTCGTAAGTGCCAGAGAGACTTGTTCACGCTAGTCAAACCGCCTACCTACCTACCTGCCTACCTTCTCTGACGCCAGCGACAGGAACAGGAGCGTCAGCTACAGCTACAGCAGCAGCAGCAACAGCAACAACAACCAGCGCCAGAAGCGCCGACAACGCTGCCAGATGGACGTCCGGGGTATCCACGTCATGGAGGTCCGTTGAGTTATCTTAGATTCGTCGTCGCTGGCGTGGTTGCTACGCTGGTGCTGATGTTTCCACCTAGCTTTTTTAGGAGGGAAATATGATGTGTGTGTGTGTGTGTGTGTTTGGAGGTCACGACAGGGGCGGCATCACAGGCATGGCGAGCACAGTGTTTGGTTCAGGGAGCATGTATCATTAAGTCAATCGTGCCTAAGCAAGCATACTGGCTGTCTGTCATGATGTGGTCAACCGTGTCTGAGCATACTGGCTGCCACGTGTGGTCGAGCTTGCACCCCACTCATTAGATGGAAGCCTTCAGGATCTTGAAGGCGTCACCGCGCGTGCCCAGGAAGCGCTCCTCGGCCGTCTGCCAGTTGATGACCTTCCAGATGTTGTCGACGTAGGCGGCCTTGCCGTTAAGGTACTGTGGAGGGAGTCAGTGAAGCCGGGGTAGATAAGGGGCTGACATCGTGCTTCACGTACCTGGAGGTAGTAGGCGTGCTCCCACATGTCGACGCCGAAGATGGGCACGTGGCCGGGGTCGACGACGGGGTCCTGGTCCTTGCTGTCATGTGCATCAGCATATCAGTTCCGAAAAGACAGATACTGTTTGGTGATAGGGCGAGGCAGCTTACGTCGTCTGAATGATGAGTCGGTCCTCCTTCTCACCCTCAACCTTGACCAACCAGCCCCAACCAGAGCCCTGGATGCCGAGAAGCGCGGCGTTGAACTTCTCCTTGAAGGCCTTCTCGCTGCCCCAAGTCGCGTTGATCTTCTCAATCAACTTGGGCGCGGCCGAGCTCTTGGCGCCCGCCGACGACTCCGGCGTCAGGTTCTGCCAGAACAGGCTGTGGTTGATGTGCCCGCCGCCGTTGAAGTGCAGAGCCGCCTGCAGCGAGATCTGCGTCGGGATGTCGTTGCTGCTCGTCGCGGTGGAGTACTTGTCCAGCGCCGCGTTGAGGTTTGTCACGTATGTCTGGTGGTGCTTGCTGTGGTGAAGCTCCATGATCTGCTTGCTGATGGCGGGCTCGAGGGCCTGGACATTGTGTTATTAGAAACGCGTCATTGGGGTGATGGGCTGGGTGGGCTCACATCGTAGGCGTAGGGGAGCTTGGGCAGCTGGTACTTGGCGGACGCCATATTGTTGTTGCTTGTGTCGTTGTTGGGATTGGTGTAGCCGGTGAATTCAGACAGCACCGAAGATGCTAAGAACAAGATGGAGGAGTTGAAGAATGGAAGTTGCATTGCAAACGAGGCGGGGTAAGATGATTGAGTGTGAAAGAGGGGGTTATGACACCATGATGTCCTGTGAGAGCACGACATATAAAAGAGAAGGAGCAACCCATTGGCCCTCGTCAGCCGTTACTCCTACCGAAACCGTCGTTTTGCGACGGGTGTTTGGCTGTCTCTGCACGTTGTGGGAGGTGGCACCTTCCAAGCAGCTCAAACTTGCTCATTCCCTCGATAACTTGCTCATAAGCTCTCAACGAGGCTTGAAGGCGTCGCACGCAAGCCGACGCTGAAACCAGAGCCAGAATATAAATCAACACAGCAAATGCTCTACTTGTCTGCTTCATCTTGACATTCTTTCGGCACATACCTATAAATACGACCGTTCGCGGAACCCCACACCACCCCATACCAACCTGCTTAGTCAGCAATCCATCCAACATCATGTGCAACGGCTCCTGCAACTCAGCCAAGCTCTCGACGGGCGGCACCATAGCCGTGCTTCGGCCTACAGCGTGTATCTCCGCGGCCTCTGCCCCTGTCGATGACCTTCTCCACACGGCCAACCCCGCAGTCGAGTGCGATCTGTTGTTTGAAAACTCCGGGGACCACGCCGGCAACACGCAAGCCATTTTCCGGACCAAGGACGGCAGCCGCTTCGATGCCTTTCGGGGCCATTTCATGGTGATCCAGTAAGTCGATCCCCCAATCGCGATCTCTCTGTCGGCGCTTATGGCGGTGTCTGACCGTGTCCCTCGATCGAACAGCCGTGACGGTGATGCCCGCAACGCAGCGTCACTGCGAGAGGATATGCGCAACGCGCTACACACGATCGAGATTTCGGCGGCGCCGGACGCAACGGCGAGCGGACTGGCGCGAATGGAGCTGCCTGAGGAGCTTCAACTGTCGGTGGGCGGACAGGGCGTGATCGGTCGACGGGTTTCGATCATGACGGGCATGAGGGACAGTGGGGCGCGGGTAGCAGAGGGAATTATCGGCTGGAACTGAGGAGCGGGGAAAGCACAGCAGATTGATCCTTTTTGTCCCTCGTGGCCGCGCAGTCACACAGATACCCCAGCGCGCATCAGGTCACTTGACCAAGGGGAGGGGCGGGGATGGCGCAAGCTTAGCCATCCCGTAAGGCTGGTAGCGAGGTTCCGCTGAGATTTTTTGCGGCGGCGGGCCTGGATCTGCCGCTCACGCCGTCGCCTCTCCCGCCAACCACCACCTCAACGTTCCTCTGCAACCGTCACATCAAACATTGCAGATCTCGAGATATACCAACATGGGAATGATGAAAAGTTTTCCTTATCTTCTGTCCCGTGGGATCGTCGTCGACTGACCGCATGCGTCCTGGTCGCTTCTTTTTCCATTACTTCAGCTCCCACGGTTCTGCGGCTACTGACTATTCCGCCCTCGGCCCCGGGAATAGCGCGCTCGCCACCCGAGAACCGGCACAGTGAAGCGTGCCGCGAAATGTACCGATCAAGGACGCCTATCAAAGCAGCAATAGGCAATACGCAATCTGATGAGGAAACGCTAATGATATAGCTGACAGGCCTGACGATACGGTGGTTCGACGGGCTCGCGATTGGTGGGATCGGCGACACGCGAGCTAACAGTTCCTTCTTGCAGTGACAAGTCCGCTCGTGTTTTCGCCGGCGCGGCGCGAAGGGGTCCGCGCACCGATCGTCGACCCACCAGCACGGCCTCTTTTACATGAGAAAAACTTTTGGCTCCGGACCGTGACAGGCGTGGGCGGGTGTCACGGACTCATCAGGCGCGTCCAGCAAGTTTTTACTCATAGATGCGCCTTCGACTATCTATCCTCACAACCGTCATTGTCTGTTCCCATCCTTTCCCCGTCAAACGCCGTCGTTCCAATTCCATTACGCTACCGTCTCGTGTCTGAACCCTCCGGTCCTACCAATTCCCATCCATCTGCTCGACTAGCCGGAGAACCCAACTACTGCCCGGCAGCATGGCCGACGGAAAGAGCCTTGATGCCATTGCCAACGCGGAGCCGCCCCGGTACGACTCGAAGAAGGTCGGGGATGCAGCCGCAGAGGTGCCTGGCAGTGAGGGCTCCACCATGGACCCTGAGAAGGCGGACCCGACGCAGCAAACCACCGAGCTCAAGAGGAACCTGAAGAGTCGCCACTTGCAGATGATTGCTATCGGTGGGCATCCCCGTTGTCTGCCATCCCCGGCGCCCTAACTCATTCTTTATAGGTGGTACCATTGGAACTGGTCTTTTCATTGGTAGTGGTGAGGCCATTGCCGAAGCCGGTCCCGCTGGCGCTCTCATCTGCTATGCCTTCGTTGGCTCCGTTGTCTACTGCGTTTGCATGTGCCTGGCGGAAATGGCAACGTACATTCCTGTGTCGGGTGCCTTTTGTCAATATGCTGCCCGATTCGTCGACCCCAGTCTTGGCTTTGCCATGGGTTGGATCTACTGGCTCTCGTGGGCCATCACCTACGCTGTTGAACTCACCGCATCCGGCCTGCTTATTCAGTACTGGGATAAGGATCTAAGTATCGGTATTTTCATCGCCATCTTCTGGGTCACTCTCACTGCCATCAACTTCCTTCCCGTCAAGTTCTACGGCGAGCTCGAGTTCTGGTTCGCTGGCATCAAGGTCTTGACTGTCATTGGCTTCGTCATCTTTGCCATCTGCGTCGACGCTGGCGTCGGCAAGAACGGCTACCTGGGCTTCCACACGTGGGGCACTCCCGGTGCCTTTGCCCCCTATCTTTTGGAATCCAAGGGTGCCACGGCCAAGTTTGTCGGCTTCTGGGCCGTTCTGATCCAAGCCGGTTTCACGTACCAGGGCACCGAGCTTGTCGGTATCGGTGCCGGCGAGACGGCCAACCCGCGCAAGACTGTCCCCGAGGCCATCCGCAACACCTTCTGGATGATTCTCCTGTTCTTCTTGGCCATCATCTTCTTCGTCGGTCTCCTGGTTCCCTATGACAACCCTTCGCTCGTTCTCGGCGGTGACGATGCCTCTTCCTCCCCTCTGGTCATTGCCGCCAAGCTGGCGGGCATCCCTGTCATCCCCGGTCTGATCAACGGCATTTTGCTCACTGTTGTCCTGTCGGCCGCCAACGCCAACGTCTACTCTGGCTCCCGCATGATTATCGGTCTCGCCGAGGCTGGCTGCGCGCCGCGGGTTTTGGCCAAGACGACCAAGCAGGGCGTCCCGTACTGGGCGGTGACCTTCACGGCGGCATTCGGCCTGCTGGCATTCATGAACCTGTCCAACGGCGGCGGCGAGGTGTTCAACTGGTTTGTGAACATTTCAGGCGTGGCGGGCTTTATCACGTGGGCATGCATCTGCATGTGCCAGGTGGGGTTCATGCGGGCAATGCGCAAGCAGGGCATCGGGCGCGACAGCCTGCCGTACATCAGCGCGTTCCAGCCCTTCACGGCCTACTACGGCCTGTTCTTCAACATCCTGATCATCTTCACGCAGGGCTTCACCGCCTTCATCCCCTGGGACACGAGCAACTTCTTCGTCGCGTACATCTCGCTCATCCTGTTCGCGGTGCTCTACCTCGGCCACAAAATCGTCTACCGCACAAAGTTCGTCGACCCTATGGAGGCCGACCTCCTTACTGGCCGCCTGCAGGCGGAGACGGAGGTCTGGGAGGAGAGCGACGCAAACTTCTTCACCCAGATGAAGAGCCGGATCTGGAAGAACTAGTCGAGTTGGGTTTGCGGCCGGGGGGCCAAAGGGTTTCGGAGTCTAAGCGTGTGCTTTTTTTCTTTTTTCTGTTTGGGGGCGGCTATATAATTGCTTCATGTAACGTGTAAAGGATATCGGGATTAGATAAAAGACGGGGCGGGGGCGGGGGCGGTCTCATGATTCCACTGTACGATTAGACGAGATATCACTATCGTCATTATCATCATTATTATCATCATATTTACCATCTTGGTTATAGTACGATTCTTTTATCGGGGCTTTGTGCATGTGCGATTGATCGCTCGGGATCCGCGGACATGCATGCGTGCGTGCGGCGGCGGATTGCCGGTTTCGAGCAACGTCCGTCGCCGTGGAGTGAGGATGGAGGGCGCTGGCTTGTAGCTGGATTAGAGTCGGCTGTATTGTGGGGACGGCTTTGGTCGCTCGCTGTTTTAATAGTAAGATGCTGGATCTGGGTCGGCGGTGGTGATGGACGTTGGATATGTCATTGCGGTGATCGGAGCAATCCAGCAGCAGCACGTGACGCTCAGCGGGGCAGCAACAATCGTCCCGCGCACAGACGCCAGCATCAGAAATTCGCGGAGCTCCCACGCAGCTCTCTCCCACAACCTCCAGCGCGCGCGCAACCGCACGCCGCCCCAACATCACAATGTTCGACACAGTATGCAACCTCCCGCTGTCCTCGGACCTCTTCGCGCAAGCCGTGCACCCGCACGCTCCCCTCGTCGCCGTCGGCCTCTCGGCCGGGCACGTCCAGGCCTTCCGCCTGCCGGACGAGGAAGCCGCAGACGGCCCTGCTGAGCACGGCTTCGGCCAGATCGAAACGGCGTGGCGCACTCGCCGCCATAAGGGCAGTTGTCGCGCGCTGGGCTTTGGTACCGATGGCGAGGTGCTTTATTCGGCGGGGACGGATGGGCTGGTCAAGGCGGCGAGTGCGGAGACGGGGGTTGTGGTTGCGAAGATGGCCGTGCCGAGTTCGGGGTAGGTTTTCTTGTTGTTCTTTTGCGCGCTGGTGCTGGTGCTTTGCAATTGGCGATTGGGCTAACAGTTGGATTTACCCACAACAGCGCGCGCAGCGACGAAATCGACGCGCCCTCGCTCCTGCACGTCCTCTCGCCGCAGACGCTCCTCCTCGCGACCGACTCCTCGGCCCTACACCTCGTCGACCTACGCGTCGACAACGCGCCGCGCGGGGGTTTCGCGTCGCGCGCGCCGCAGCAGACGCACCACCCGCACGATGACTACATCTCGTCGCTGACGGCGCTGCCGGCGTCGGCGGCCAGCACGTCGGGCTTCAGCAAGCAGTGGGTGACGACGGGGGGCTCGACACTGGCGGTGACGGACCTGCGGCGGGGCGTGCTCGTGCGCAGCGAGGACCAGGAAGAAGAGCTGCTGAGCAGTGCGTTTGTCGGCGGACTCGGCAAGCGCGGCACCAGCCAGGGCGAGAAAGTGCTGGTCGGGGGCGGCGGCGGGGTGCTCACGCTGTGGGAGCGCGGCGTGTGGGACGACCAAGACGAGCGCATCACGGTGGACCGCGGCGCGGGCGCAGGCACCGGCACAGGCGAGTCCCTCGACGTCATCACCGTGCTGCCGGACGGCGTGGGCCCCGCGGGCAAAGTCGTGGCTGTCGGCCTCGGCAACGGCCTCGTCCGCTTCGTCCGCGTGGGCGCCAACAAGGTCGTCGGCGAGATCAGCCACGACGAGACGGGCGAGAGCGTCGCGGCTGTCGGCTTCGATGTCGCGGGCCGCTTGATCACGGGCGGTGGCCAGACACTCAAGATCTGGCATGAGGGCGCCGGCGGCGTGTCTACGGATGCGGAGGCTGGCGCGGACGCTAAGCGCGGCTTGGATAGTGATGGGGATAGTGAGGATGAAGACGGCAGTGACAGGGATAGCGACGAGGATAGCGATGATGAGGGTGGCAGGAAGCGCAGGAAGAAGAGGAAGCGCGGCAAGGGCAAGGATCGTAGTGGTGGGCAGCATGTCATGAAGTTCAAGGGGCTGGATTAAGTGGTGGTGGGGTGGTGGGGTGGGTGGGTTATTGTGGGAGAGAAGAGCGCAGTCGAGTGCGTCTCAGCATGCATGCATACCCCCATATATCGGCGCAAGACGGCGGGAAAAA